GAAGCAAGTTGAAGAAGCAACCAATCCGAGTGCCCGGAAGATCTCTCGGTTCAGTGTTAGTCGCGTGCAGGAGCAAAAAACATCAACAGGGGTGGAGGAACCTGCGCAGGGTCAGCTGAAGATCGATCTTCAGGTCGCAGGGGGCCCTGGTGGCCAAATGCAATTAAACACCGCAAGCAACTCGGTACCAAACGGCAGTGTGGTGAACACGCCGACCGAAATCATAAGCTCTCCCATCCAGAGCGTTCCTTTGGCCATTAACGGCATTCAGCTGATTTACCAGCAGCCCCAACAGATCCACCAACTGCCGGGGACAGCTCCACCCACTTCGACAGCAAGTGGAGCTGGAACTCAGTGCGTGGTAGGGCAGCAGATGATCAATCAAAATGGCACACAGATGCCACAATTGCAGCAGCCAGTGGTGCATCCAAACATACCACAGCAGACTCCCCTAAATGGGCATCCTAATATGGTTAATCCCATTCAGCAACCGCCACCCCAGCAGCCTATGCCTTTGCAGCCAATTCAGCAGCCACAGAATCAAATGCCACTCATGCCGCCACAACAGCAACCCATTCTGATCCAGCAGTCACAGCCACAGCAACAGCAGCAGGGATCGCAGCAGTTCAATCCTGCTCTTCCGCCACAACAGCAATTCCTTCAGACGCAGCCCAATCAAATGCATCAACTTCCTCCGCAGGTGGTGAGCATTGCCCAAGCAATGACCCACCAACTAGCACCCATGCAATCGATGGCAACCCAGCAGCAAATCATCTCGCAGCAGCAGCAACAACTTCAAATGCAAATGACGCCGCAGAGTCTACCAGGAATGTATAACCAGCAGGCTGGAGCTCGTGTGGCAACACCACAAAACTTCCATGGCACTGTGCCCAACCATTTGTTGCAACAGGCGCCTATAATGGCCACCCAACAGCCGGGGCAGCCAATGCAACACGTTATGCAACCGCTTTTTAATGCATCAGCTGGTGAAGGTAATTTATTGGTTTTCCTAATCCGAAACAAAATACTAAACCTTTTGTAAAACTTCCCTTACAGTTACCGAAGAGCCTGTATCTCTAGCAGCTACGCATCCCCATTTGCTACCCAGCGATATCCAATCAGTAAGTTACATTAACTATCATAAATAAAAGCTTTTGTTTAAATGTATTCGTTTTGAAGGATATAAAACACAATTTGGATTCACTGGTGAACCAATTGTGCAACACACGCTTGGGAACAAACCAGCACCAACGGCTGCTTTTGTTGCGCCAAAGACAACTCATCGAGGAGGACGAGTTGCGCCTAAAACATTATGTGGAATACGAAAAGTTTCAGAAGGCACTGCGCCAATGTAAGCATATTGGATAATCAGAAAAAAAGTCAAAGTCAATTTAAATATTTATACATTTTCAGCTATAAGCACAAACGTTCCAGCGACTGCCGCTTACTATTCAGCAGCTGCCGCCCAGCTTCCAACTAATTTGGCGGCTCCAGCAGCTCCGTCCTCATCGAATCCGACATCCACTGGCTCCGCAAACACATAACTGCGCTAATTGTTTCGCTTCATGCACCTTTGACAAGCCATACTAACAGCTCTACTCTATGTTCTCGACAATATAATTGGCTCGAGTTTAGGAATGTGGATCTGGAAGTAGATTTTAAGTATAAAGTTGTCGAATGTTACGGGGTTGTCTGTAAATATTAGTCAAACGCTTCTTGTTGATATGCCATTGTTTTATTTTTATACCTTTCTGTTTCATTATCATTTGAAATTCCTACTTTCCGATCTTGGCTTCGTTTATTTGTTTAAAATAAATATTCAATTTTTGTATGAACTTTTTAAGAAAATTGTACATTTTATTAGTAAAAAAAACTGTAAATACAAATTTCGATAATGTAATAATATAACAATGCATATAGGAATATTATATAATAGTCATCATTTATTCAAAGTGATGTATACATACTGCGTAGTTACTAAATAAATAACTTATTACCGAATTTGAATGGGTTATTGAAAAAAAAAATTAGTTGCAAATCGTTCAGATTTAATAATTGAAAATTTTGACATAAGATCTACAAAATATTCCTAGATTCTTATTGAGATCTGTGAAGAATCGATTTACGAATCGTTTAAGGTACTCCGCTCATGAATCGGATTATTTTTGCCAGACATATAGCCTTCCCAATATTCCATATAGTGGCTCCAAGCATTTTTTGGGATTTTCGAAGGGGACCCTCCAGAAATTTTGACAAAAAATCTAAAAAATATTTTGATCTTGGATTTCGATGCAGATTTGTGGAGAATCGATTTACGAATCGTTTAAGATACTCCGCTCATGAATCGGATTATTTTTGCCAAACATATAGCCTTCCCAATATTCCATATAGTGGCTCCAGGCATATTTTGCGATTTTGAAAGGGACCCTCCAGAAATTTTGACAAAAAATCTAAAAAATTCTTTGTTCTTGGATTTTGATGCAGATTTGTGGAGAATCGATTTACGAATCGTTTAAGATACTCCGCTCATGAATCGGATTATTTTTGCCAAACATATAGCCTTCCCAATATTCCATATAGTGGCTCCAGGCATATTTTGCGATTTTGAAGGGGACCCTCCAGAAATTTTGACAAAAAATCTAAAAAATATTTTGATCTTGGATTTTGATGCAGATTTGTGGAGAATCGATTTACGAATCGTTTAAGATACTCCGCTCATGAATCGGATTATTTTTGCCAAACATATAGCCTTCCCAATATTCCATATAGTGGCTCCAAGCATATTTTGGGATTTTTGAAGGGGACCCTATAGAAATTTTGACAAAAAATCTAAAAAATATTTTGATCTTGGATTTTGATGCAGATTTGTGGAGAATCGATTTACGAATCGTTTAAGATACTCCGCTCATGAATCGGATTATTTTTGCCAAACATATAGCCTTCCCACTATTCCATATAGTGGCTCCAGGCATATTTTGCGATTTTGAAGGGGACCCTCCAGAAATGTTGACAAAAAATCTAAAAAATTCTTTGTTCTTGGATTTTGATGCAGATTTGTGGAGAATCGATTTACGAATCGTTTAAGATACTCCGCTTATGAATCGGATTATTTTTGCCAAACATATAGCCTTCCCAATGTTCCATATAGTGGCTCCAAGCATATTTTGGGATTTTTGAAGGGGACCCTCCATAAATTTTGACAAAAAATCTAAAAAATATTTTGATCTTGGATTTTGATGCAGATTTGTGGAGAATCGATTTACGAATCGTTTAAGATACTCCGCTCATGAATCGGATTATTTTTTTCCAAACATATAGCCTTCCCAATATTCCATATAGTGGCTCCAAGCATATTTGGGATTTTTGAAGGGGACCCTCAAAAATTTTGACAAAAAATCTAAAAAATATTTTGATCTTGGATTTTGATGCAGATTTGTGGAGAATCGATGTACGAATCGTTTAAGATACTCCGCTCATGAATCGGATTATTTTTGCCAAACATATAGCCTTCCCAATATTCCATATAGTGGCTCCAAGCATATTTTGGGATTTTTGAAGGGGACCCTCCATAAATTTTGACAAAAAATCTAAAAAATATTTTGATCTTGGATTTTGATGCAGATTTGTGGAGAATCGATTTACGAATCGTTTAAGATACTCCGCTCATGAATCGGATTATTTTTGCCAAACATATAGCCTTCCCAATATTCCATATAGTGGCTCAAAGCATATTTTGGGAATTTGGAAGGGGACCTTCCAGAAATTTTTCTGTGGCCCAAAAGTCTTTCGCAGTAAGCTTATCTTTTATTGTGAAGTGTGTAGTCAATACATAACACGCTGCCCTGCTTGTCCCATTAGAAAATCTAAACATAATTTATATTTCCAACATATATTTTATGACCATTAGGCTATCTAATGTAAATAATGAACATTATCTGGTTTAGGAGAAATTGTACATAATTTTAGCATATATTTTAATGTTCTTTTTAAGACACTTTGATTTATTGGGAATGCTGGTCCAAAATATCAAGGCATATTTATGAAATTACAAAAGTGCATCACAAATACATATGTATGTTTGTTGGGTTTTTGTAAATTTGATTTTTGTTTTCTATAACTTTGATACAATTTATTTTATGCTTCGACAATTAAATTGAAATTAATAATACAGAATGCAAGAGCATTCAAGGTAAACGATAACAAAACAGGTGATATGAAAACGATTAAACGGTGACATCCATTGTGTCCTTAATGGGGTTGCCCCACTCCCTGGCCATAATCATGATTTCGTTCATGGATAGTTTGGGGCCGATCAGAGGGTTCAGCTGGGTCATGTAACAGCAGAGCCAGCTACAATGATAAAACAAAGACACATCGATAAGTATGAAGTCATACGTCATTTTTTGAGTACAACAAGTGCACCCAACTTTCTTGCTACTTACAACAACCAGCAGGTGACAGCGGTCAGCATAAGGCAGCACTGAGTCACCCTGAAATCAGGAATATATTTAGTGGGAGGGTTTAGCAACATATTAAGTAAACACTTACCCCTTGTTGGGACCTCGAGCGAAGAAGGGACAGATGATGCCAATGAAGGCCCAAATGCTGGTGATAACGATCGGTGGCACCCACTCGGAAACCATTTTGCAGGCTTAAAGAAACTGCTGTGTGTGGTTTAAGGCAAAATAAAAAATAAAAGGGTGGACAATGCGATCACGAAAGTTTTTCTCGAGCAGCGAATATCACATGACAGCTGAACATGGGACAGGGCTGACGGAATTAATTGTTTTTATCGAAGTATCGTTAAAATTAATAATATCGATTTTAATTGTTGATATTAAAATAGTTTTAAAAGTTGTTAAGAAATTTTTCGTTTAAAGAATTATTTATAAAAGTATAGAAAATTTAAAAAAATAAATATTTTCAAAATGCGTATATTTTTTCAGGGATACCAAAATGAGTATCGGTTACCAACATTGGAGTAAATGGTGCTGCCACCACGGTAAAATCTCCATGCGAACGGCAAATTGGAAAGAAGAAACACTCTAACCTTACACCATTGATTTTCGCCAGAAGATTTGCTAAAAACAACTTCGAAAATGTTCCAAAACAGTGCTGCTCGCCTCTTGGTCCCCGCCATCCGCAGTGCTATGCAGAGCCGCTGCCAATCCGTGGTTTCTGGCCCCCCGACCAAGCACATCTCCACGGCCGTAAGTTTTCCTTCTGGTTGCATAACGAGGATGTTCTACCAAAGAAAGCCATTTCCTTCGTTCTTTCATTAAATGCTGGCTTTATCTATTGCAGGAGAAGGTGATCTTGGGCGGCGGCATGTGCGCTGCTTCCCTGTTCATCCCCGCCTGGGTGCTCTACCACATCCGTGACTACAAGGGCGACAAGTAACTTGCTTTTTGTTACGTTTATCACACCTAATACTATGTAAAGTAAAAAGTATCAATGCATAATTAGTGTCCCTAATCACAGGAAATAAACGAAAGTGGATTGAACCATAGATGAATTTCATTATTTAACAAAAGCTTTAAATCTAGAAAATTTCTTAAAAATGGCTCTTGTGAACTCAACTATCCAATGAATCAGTTATGACTGGAGAATAAATATGGAAGTTGCGACTGCCTAAGTGAAAAGACTTGCATCAGTGGCTAGTTTTAGTGTATTTGTGTATATATTTTCACTTGAAGCATAATTTTAAAAGGCTTGCAAATGTTTTAATGGGGATAGAAATGTTTTAAACGATCTTATAAGATATAGTTATAGTTGCGTTTTACTTTTTCTGCGAGTCCTTGCCATCGCCCTTTTTCTCCTTGTCCTTGTTAAGCGAGCCGACAGCATCACGCACGGCCTCAGACTGGGGATCAACCCCGGGCAAATTTTCCAAGACGCTCTGCAAAAAGGCCGGGTCTCCAATTACCTCCGAATAATCTTCATCTACCTCCATGGGAGCATTGGCCTCGTCGGTCTTTGGACGCTTTGCCTGCTGGGTAACCGTGTCATCGGGAGCGTCCTGCATGGACATCTGCATGGCAAATGCAATCTGTTCCTCCTCAGTCATATTGGCAAAGTCCGGCAAGTTGTCCTCGGGGGTTTCAGTGGACAAGGCCAAAGCGCGCTGCAACATGGCCTCTTCGGTGTTGGCCTCAGCAATTCCGCCAACACTCTCTACGTTTCCTCCTTGGCCAGAGCTTCCACCAGCCTCGCCTCCAGCGGTGCCCGAAGTCTCAGTATTGGCACGTCGTTGCTCGCTCTCTTGCCTCTGGCGCTGCTCCTCCATTGAAACACGCAAAGCCAAGGCTAACTCCGGATCTTCGTTGGGGTCCACGCCAAACTCGAACACGTTTCCGCCCAAGCCAGCACCTCCCATGCCGTCCTCTCCTTGGATAATGGGGGAAGATAACAAAGCATCCGACAATGCTGAGCCACGAGGGACACTAACTAAGTGCGACCCGGTGCCGTCCTTGCCGTTGAGGGCATTGATAAAAGCGGTCAAGGTCTCGTTATTGTTTCCGTGGTCTCCAAAACTGACAATGTCGACGTTGACCTTTTCCTTCTTCAGACGCTTCGCCTGCTTTACTAACTCGCCCTCCTCATGATTGATGGGCGATCCCACAAACACCACAATACGCATCTTGTGGTTCTTTCCCTGGCGATGCTTCAGCACCAAGTGAGCAATGCGGATTCCAGTCAAAAGGTTTATCTCGCCCTTGGGTTGGATCAAGTGCATCTTTGAAAAGATGCGTCCAACATCGCTGGTTAGCGTGGCCAGCACTTCCACCGTGCTGCAAGGATTACAATATTTAACTAACCAATAAATAGATGAGCGAATACTCACTTGGACAAAGTCATAAGTCCCACATTGTTCTCGGGATTGGATCGCAGCTTGGTGAGGCATACAAGATTAATGCCGTCTTTCTGGACATTCAGACGGGTTGGAAAATAGTCTCCATTGCGCTGATAGTCGCTGTTGTCGAAACTAAAAAATAGCAAATAATTAGCTTCTATGCCAAACAGACACCACTGACCGTGATTAGAATTGAAGAGAACTCCATTTAGTTGTAAAAAACATGAATTTACCATATCATAGTACTCTCCAGCACCATTTTCGTATTTTTGCTTGTCACTGCCACCGAACTGTAATTTTACGTATAAACACTAGGGTTGCTAAGTTTTTTAGAGCCAGGGCAGCCCAAATATCGTTAGTGTTACCGATATTCAAATCTGATTAATATATCGATAAGAAATTAACGCGGTCACCGTTTTTAAAGCTTCTACAAACTTTAATTCAAAAACCCTTTTAAATTTAATATTAAAAATACATATGAGAATATAGTATATACATTTAAGGTGGATGTCAATTTTATTTTAAAAATATAATATTATGTTATATTTATTTAATTGGTGGAATTATTCAAAACATTAGAAAAATTATCATTGATAAAATGAATAATAAAATGTATATAATTTCAGCTATAAAGATAACGCTGAATCCAATCATTAGGCTCATCAGGCCGCCAGTCTGAGCTGAATATATTCATAAACATTAATGTTAGATTTTTTCAATTTTACTATTGGCATCATACCCATATACTCTGTTGATCCTGTGTACGAGGTCCTCACGCTACTTCGAAAATAGTTTTCTGTGTGAAAAAAGTTTACCACCGCCAAATTTTCGCGAATATATTGATTTGACAAATTTTTTAAATAGTCACTTTGGATTCTAAAGGTATTCTTGCCAAACGGTGTGGTAAATGAATCAGGAAAGAATATTAAATCGTGACAGCTGGGGAGGCAAAGCTCTTTGCATTGAGAACTTTCATCGTCAAAAACCTCCTGTTCCGCATTATTCAAACACTGGAACCGATCGACGTCGCATACTGAAGCGTTGGGATAAACCAAGGGCAAATAATACGGAATACAATCACACAATCTGAGAAAAAACAAAGCATCGCATTCGGATTCACAATTTCTTCGAGTATAGTAACGATAAAAGAGCAGCTCCTGTTCATCGCTAAAAATGCATTGTCGTTTTGATCTTTGAATATGTCGTATATTAGGAGAGGCTTCAAAACTCCTGGCAATTATCCGAAATGTCGTCTGGCGACCTATCATTACGGGCAGCCCGGATTCCTTCAAACGGGGTTGATCAATCGGATTATATAGGAGAAGCTTTCGAATATTGAAATACCGAATATTAAAATAAAAAAACAATTTTGTTCAAGTAACTAACTTTAAATCCGTGTCCATTGGTCGATGAACAATAATAATCATTTACATGACCATTGAGAATAATTTGAAGACCCATAGAACTTCCAGCTCCAACACCAGGACGCGGATAGTAACTCGATGGTAGTCTTTTTGGGTATCCTGACATCGGATCCCAATCTACGGCAATGTCCGAAAATCTTTCCAAGGATGTATAATCGCGAATATAAGGCGATCTTAAAGAAATGGTTATTATTTCAACTGTATTTACTAACAAATGCAACCCTTACCTAAATTTATATAAATAGTATGGGTGCAGTAAGTTAAAAATACAACACAGACCTTCGTCCACAAATATTTCCCGAAAAATATCGGTGCAAGGAATTTTTTGTTGATGAAACATGCAGGACACGATCAGATCTTCACACTTTTCCGAAATATTAACTATAAAATTGGGAAAAGTTTCATTCTTATGCTGCAAATTTATATACGATGTGTAATTGGTCTCTCTGTAACAGGTCTTTTGTAGCATTGCGTATCCAACAGATCCCCTAAAACACATATATTTACATAAAAACGAGAATATAATCCAGCTGTGTACGTACGGGACCAAATGCTCTACTTTCGATTTTTTGGCTTGGTTCATATTGCAAATAGTTATAGCAGGAAAAGGAATCGAGTTTATTGGAGTCATATGCGAACTGACTAAATAAAATAAGAAAATCTTAAAAAGGTTTCGACAAATTGGCTTTTTTATTTCTCAAATTTACTTCCTATAATGACTGGAGTGATTTCCCATTTATTGTAGATTCCAACAGCCAAGTTTACTGCCACAAACACAACCAATCCGGATATAATTATAAAATAAAGTTTTACCCACCATGGTAAACTTTTGTCAGTAATAGCGTATTTTAAAACCTCTATTGCTGTATTTCGTAGAAAACGTTTTTCTCTATTTTGAACTATTCTAGAAATTTTTCCGGTTACTTTCTTTACCAAACTCATTATGATGATGTCCTTAATACAAGTGTTTCTCCAGACGTTTTTAAACAGTTTTACTGTTTTTATATAATCACTTATATGCCTAATTGTATTCCTTTAATTAAATTGACTTACAAACCATTAGGGGAATTAAGCTAATCGAAAAATAATTGTACACTTCATACACTTTTTCTACCTTGACTAAACACCTTTTTGGAAAATAATCGAAAATGTTCTTAGAGAGTGAAAAATAAGTGAGATAATAAGTGAGATGTTTGTTTTTTTAATTAGAAAAAGAAATATTAAGTAACTTTTTATGAAAAAAATCTTTTTTTGCCATTTTATATTGCTAAAAAATAGAAATATGTAATTCTATTGTTTAGTGAAAAAGGTGAAAACGAAGATTTAAAATCTAACAAAATAGAATCTATCTAAATCAAGGTAATTTGAACTATTATTTTGCCCGCCTCACAATAACGAACTTTTTTTCAAGTTTGATACATAACTTTTTTAAAATCCTTCCACTAAAATAAGTTATCTAAATAATTCCCTGAGTGGTGCGGTTCCCCGAGTAACGGTTACATTGGGCGATATTTCAGGTCCCACTTATACTGGTCACACTGCAAAAGTCAGGAAAATTTTGTGAATGTGATCCAAGGTGCATAAAAACGACAAAGCGAAGCAATTGTAAGTTTTCAAGTGCTTAAAGTCTTAGAATTTAGCTGCATAGCTGCTTGATTTGTCTCGCAATAACCGGATACTAGATGGACACCTAGGTAACTGACTTTTCCAGGCAAACTAATTTCACAGATCCTTGCAATTGCCTATTGGAGTTTATATACACACATATGTACATAATTACATATTTCGCGATGCCAATAGCATTTTAAGTCGTCATGAAGTATTTGCTAACCGAAAAGACGTGTTTAATACCTCGTTGAAGAACACGAAGGGGGTCTCAGGTTTTTTAAGTCGAAACGATGCACTAAATTAAAGTGTATGTGTGTCCGTATGTACGCAGTTGTTGTGTCTGAAGCAATATGTATGTACGTATGTACGTGTATATTTGCGTATGGGGGTAAGCGCATTTACATATTTACATGTTCTGTTGGACTGTCATAACTTACAAAACACGCTGTTGGAAAAGTAAAAGAATTAGGCTTATTCGAATTTATTAAGTTTAAGATTTTAGTGTCATTTTTTTTCAAATCGAAATGTTACAGCTAATGATAGGCACGGGTTTTTATTTTTAGGTCCCCCTTGAGAGTTGTCAGATTCGTAAAGTAAATCCCTTTTGCAAGTGTAATAGCAAAATGAGTGCCGTCGCCAGCAGAGATCCACCAGCCATTGGCAGCTTGGCCCTCGGCCGGAGCCAGACGATCTGCCGATATTACGTGCGCGGTATATGTCGCTTTGGAGAACTGTGTCGCTTCTCACACGACCTCAGTCGCGGCCGTCCGGAGTGCGAGGCTCAGCAGGCAGACTTGGCCACGGAAAGACCCAGCACAAGCACCAGCAGTAAAACCCTCACCAGCCCAAGTACAAGCCAGCGAAATTGGGCTAATGCCCCAGTGTTTGTGCCTAGCCAGAAGCGTAATCCTGCCTGGGATGTGAATGATACAACTGAAGCTGATTCAAATGCAGATGGGGAATCGGAAGCGGCATCGCACGATGGCTTGTACCAGGCCAACGTATCGTGGGCGGAAGTGGTGGGCGGTCCGAAGCTGGACTTCACTATGGCCAAACCGGCCTCACTGGACGAGGTGTGTCCCTATGAGAGTCCGTGCGCCTGGGGTGAGCATTGCCCATACCGCATCCATTTGGAGCTGTGCGAAATGTGCGACCAGTACTGCCTGCACCCGACAGATCAAGCCCAACGCAAGAAACATAACCGCGAGTGCCTGCAGCAGCATGAACAGGCCATGGAACTATCCTTCGCTATTGCCCGTTCCAAGGACAAGACGTGCGGCATCTGCTTTGACACGATCATGGAGAAATCCGGGCGAGAAAAGCGTTTTGGAATTTTACCGAATTGTAATCACATCTTCTGCCTGGAATGTATTCGCACATGGCGCCAGGCCAAACAGTTTGAGCATAAAATAACGCGGTAAGTAAAAGAATATCTTCCTGTATGAAATATCATCTTATGTTATCATCTTTGAAAAAATATAGAGCTTGTCCTGAATGTCGCGTGTGCTCAGACTTTGTCTGTCCCAGTGCGTTCTGGGTGGAGACCAAGGAAGAAAAGGATAAACTGTTCAACGATTATCGTGCCGCTTTGGGGGCCAAGGACTGCAAGTATTTCCAAAAAGGCGAGGGCAAGTGTCCCTTTGGCAACAAATGTTTCTACAAGCACGCCTTGCCCAACGGAGATATTGTGGATGTGGGTCTGCCCAAGCGTACTCGTAAGCTGCAGAGCCAGAATGAAATAATCGATTTACTTGATGTGAGTATTAGTTCCTTTAACTTTATTTTGAATGAATTTTTCTGGGTTCTCTGGGGATAACACTTGTTAGGTTTTTTTGTGGTATTTACTTTATTCCGTATTTTATAGATTTATCTCTGGGACTATGTAGACAGGCGTGATTATCATTGGCTGGAGATATTTTCAAGTGATGGAAGCGACTATTCCGATTTCTCGGATGACGAATAAGCTTCTGGAGCAGAAGGATACAAAAAAAGAATAAACCCTAAATCATAAACATTTGGATATACACTCCCAGAAAATAATCAATATTCAAACGATATATAAAAATGATACTGAACCAAATATCGAATGCGAAATTAAAAATGATGTATTTGGGTACCAAATTTAGGTTTACATAAATATTTATTCTCCACTCAATGCAACGAAATTTACAGCAACTTTTCCGTACTTGTATTAAATTAAATTATATTTAATACCATAACAAGTGGTTACTCTTAAACCTAATGGAACATTGATATATCATTAAATATGAATACACAATTTTAGAGATAAACAAAAACAAGCGCGTAAACAGTACATTTTCAAAATAGGTGATATAAAACGTGTAAACTATGCCTTTCAGACTGAATTGTAAAGATAAAAACACATACATTCTTAAATCGGTTTTCTACTCATTTTCTGAGGTTTAACATCTACAAACTAAGAGAAACGCACATAGCAAGCCACATAAGCACGTCTTTTTGTATGATTGCCGGCGTTCTAAAACGAATGGTTTATAAGTAATCATATCTGAGTAAAACTATTCCCTTCCGCCGATGAAATAAATAAAATTTTTGTTATTGTTACGAGTCTTTGTGTTAGATTATTACTGTTGCAAGCCTATAATTCAGTATATCTGTAATCGTTGTCCACGAGCATAATTATCATACAGAAGCCACTAAAACTGATATTTGTATAAAATTTATTGTATATTGATTTTAAGATTATACTTTTGAAATGTACCTCTATCAATGTTTTGTTTTTACTGATGCAAATGTAATGTGTTGTCCATTAGAAAAAACAACAATTTAATAAATTAAGGGAATTATATATATAAACCCATCATGTTCAAAATCGAAAATCTAAAAAAAAAAAAAAAACAAAACACAAAGTAATAATTACTTGAAAATCTCAATAATTACATTGAATCGGGTTCATCGATTCGGAACCCATTTATATGTGATTCATAGTTGACAAACAAAAAATATCTTATGAATAATTGGTAATAAGTATAAATATACATAGTTCTAAAACATGCATATGATATGGTCGTTGAAATATGATATACAAATGTACAATTCAGCTTAACAAATACATGCTATCGCGAGAGCTGCTAACGCAATGCCTTTGGTTTGAAATTGTTTGTGTCGACACCGGATGGTGTTTTCCTTAAGATATAACTTTAGTTTTCACGATAGTTGTTTCATCGGCCTTACCGTAATTGTATAATGAGTGAACATAGTTTTAGTTAAATCTCATATCCTTTATATAATTTGATATTTCCAAAGTTGCTAAACCCATCCAGAAGTGATATATTTCGTTAATTTTTGAACTGGATTTCAAATTTTAATATTGAACGGAATAAACCTTGTTGATCAAAAGACCCTTTGATGTAACTAATACGATAAGCAAATATTCGGGTTCGTTAACAAAATTTTATTTTCAAAACCGATTTGTAACATGAGCCTTGAATCGAATACTAATTGTGCCATTTTCCATTTTAAAATTGTTCAAAACAAAAAATAACCAATCTGGCTGAACTTGTAACCTAGATTAGAATAAAAATAAAAATTGTAACATTATGTTGATAATAAAGAGCAGGAATTAAATAAATACAAAAAAAATAATTCGAAAACGGAAATTAAATGAATTTTTTCTCTTTTAGATGGTTAACCCCAGATGGTTGGGGTTCAAAACTAAAATTTGTTTTAAATTATTTTAATTTGTGTCAGAATCTTGGTATTTTTTAAACTTGTTTAGCTTTTTTCAGCTTTTTCGTATTACCGAGTCAGTAAAGGACGGTAACACTAATCAGCTGTCAGTTCAATGTTTGTTTATTTGGCGATGCACTTTAAATCGAGTAGCAATAACAATAAACAAAATGAATGAAGAAAGACGATTCGTATGCATCAATTGCGGACATAGGGTTAAGGAACTATTCAAGAAATATAGCAATACCCTAAAAACCACTAACTGCGTAAGAAATTTTATATGCTTGTTTTTTTAATGTAAACAAATGCCTAACTTACAATTTTTTAGGAAAAATGCCATCAGGTTGCTGATAAATATATCGAATTTGAGGAATTTATTATACTTATTGATGCCTTGCTTCTGGACTCCTGCGCCTTTCGCCACATAATATGTAATGGAGATTTCAAGGTGGAATGCTACTTCGCAAAATCCCTTCAACAAATGTACTTAATCAGCTTTTTTTCTTTAGTTGTATTGGAAGATCTCTTTGGTAGTCCTGCTCCTAGAATCCTTTGCCCTTTGTCGCCAAAAAACAGCCGATCCTCCAAACACGGCATTACATGTCCACGAAAAGGGATTCTATGCGTATACATTACAAAATATCGGAGGTAAACACAAACATTTCTTTTCAAAACTTAAAATACATTTTGTTGTTTTATATTTCAGACTATCTGTTTATGACTCTATTGCTTTTAATAATTACTGCAACACTCAGCTTTAATTGGGTAAAAAAAATTGGACTTCGCCATTTCACCTTAACCATCTTCAAAGTGGTTTTAATATCCAACTTGTCGAAGTTTTTTCTTTTACCAATTTTAATCTGGAGGAACAACACTACTGTATTTGGACGCAGCTTACATCATGTCCTTGTCATGGGTCATCACTTTTTTTCTTTGATCCTTGCGTACGAATCAGTCGTGGTCAGAAGAAAGTCCCTCCGTTGGATAGGAATAATATTAGTTATTCTTGCATTTGTGCTTAAGGAGTATTTAAGACAATATGCCACATTCTTGATGGATGTCAATATAATGTGAAGAGTATTAGATATTAATGCTGAATAAAAATTGATAAAGAATTCCTCCTTTATTACAGAAAAACAGCGATTTATTTAAATATTAAAAGCACTCAAATTTTATTGATCACTAAAGGCCCAGAATTACGGAAAGGAAAAAGTCAAATTTTAAAAACATATATAGAACTATTTTTATTGTATCTGTTGGTTATGAAATACGTCAAATTGTGTTACATACTATATGTTGGAAACTGCAGAGAACGAATCAAATGGCAATGAATTTAGAACCAAGCAGATCGATCAACTTTTCGTTAGATAAAAAGCCCGAGAACAGTCGTCGGTAATATAGACCGGGGTACATAATTGGTACATAAAAAAGACATCTGAGAACGAATCGAATTGATTTGTGGTTATAGCATAGTAGATATGATGTTATGCCTCTCCATTCGTATGAATGTACTTAAGTAATTAATGCTAATCGTAAGTCATGCTGCTCATACATATTGTTGTAATGGCAGTTTGTAGCAGAGCGGGACACCACCTTCTGCATTATATATCCAAATCGATATCGAAATCGAAGTCGCAATCGAAATCTGGGCGCCTAAACCTAAATCAGCATCCAATATCCATCCCTTTGCACATCCATTTACTATGCTCTTACGGTCTTAAGTCATATTCCACGAAGACGAGGACGAGCTCGAGGAGCAGTCGTCGCTCTCAGTCGTTGCACTACTTCCATTCGGCTTGGGTCCCCAGATCCTGACGGTGGCGTCATCGCTGGCGCTGGCCAATAGGGACGGGTAAACGGGATTCCAAGACACGCAGTTGACTGTCTTGGTGTGGCCAGCTAGTTTGGCAAGCGGCTCCTCGCGCTTGATGTGCCAAATATAAACAACTTTGTCTTCGCTTCCGCTGGCTACAAAGCTCTCGTTTACACCGCCAAAGCAAGAGTGTATGGCAAAGTTACTTTGCCTTATACCCTGGAATCGGCGCACCAGACACTTGTCCTCAATGTCCCACAAATGAAGGCCTTGGTTGGAGACATTTAGCAAAGCTAGACGGTCAGCCGAGTTGATGCTAAAGGTCATAATTGGATGCGGCTCCCTCAGAATATCAAAGTCTGTACGCGGGTTATCAAAGTTATACCTAAAATGGATCAAAATTAGTTGCATTCAAATATAATTTTATAATCTTTGTGTATACACCCACCCTCTTATACGGTAATGATTATCAGCCGCCAAAATAGTCTTGTTGTCCGCCCGGAAGGCTATGCTGTTCACCCGCACGCCCTCCCACGAATCGACAATGGTGCCGTTAAGGTCGCACAGGTAGAGCTGACCTTTTTGGCCGCCACAGACGAAACGGCTGCCGTCGCGACTAAAGGCACCGCAGGCCAAGCTGTCTTCGAGAGACTGAGAGAACTTGACCACCAGTTTGCCATCGTCGACGTTCCAAATGTAGAGTTCGTGGGAGTCCTCGGTGCCGCCGACGAGGATGAGCTTTGAGTCGGGACTCCAGCTGACAAAGCTTACGCTGAGCTGCGCCTGACCGTCGAGAACACGCCGGTGTTTGAGGGTGAGCTTGTAGGGGTCGACGTCCCAGATGATCACAGTCGAGTCCTTGCTGCCGGTGGCCAGCTTCAGGCCGTCTGGCGAGAACTTGCAGAACCAGACCTCGTCACAGTGGTCGGTGAGAATCTGTATGGTCTGCATGGGGAAGCCGTCCGTAGTGCAACAATGGTCTGTTAGGAGCGACACAGTCCCCAGATTGGTCTCCCAGGCCATGTCGTGGCAGGGGCAGTGCTGGCTCTGCAGCTCAACGGCCTGCTGCAGCAGTGTTTTCAACCTGCGTGGCGACATCATCACCGATGGCGGCATAAAAGACTGCAGGCGTTCCATTACAAGTGCCCGAGACACGATACCTTTGCCCTCCCACTTGGCCCTCTGGTAGAGGTCCTGGTTAGTCGAGCACATCATGTACGAGGACAGCTGATGCACCCGCGATATATTGTGCTGCAGCGGTGTTAGCTCGCTGCGTAGCACATGCAAGGCTTCGAGTGGATTTGCGTCGTCTAGGTGCTCCAGATACTTTTGCTCCAGCAGGATGAATTTCATTTCGGTGATCGTTGAGAGTTTTCCATTGTCGATAAGTGGTTCCAAGTCCTTGATTGTGGAAGAAAATACAAAGTTAGTTAGTTTTCTAATTTCTGGTTGTTCAAGATTAAATAGAATTTTCTTTTTTGGGGCAAATCTTTGATAAGATTACAGATAAACAATAGTTTTTCCTATTTTTCTTATCTACACATTCGTATATAATAAAACTGGTGATAGAACTCTACTATTTAAAGAACTAGAAAGTAATTCTATTACTCCATTTTAGCTTTAATGCCTTAATATATAATCTCTACCTTTAAATCCGAGTCAGCTTTTGCCCAGTCGCCCATGAGTACATGCTCACGGAACTTGGTGGCCGACGGATGCTCCAAGTAGCAGCCGGATTCTCCCATTAGGGTTTTGACTGACTTATCCAGGCCGACGTCATGCAAGTACTGCCCGATCAGCCGAATGATCTCCTGATTGGACTTGTCCAGTTGCACGCCACTGTAGCTAGTATTTTCCCGATTGTTTTCACCATCGACGATGCAACTGCTGCTGCCGTTGTTGTTCACAAGGAACCCATTGTGTTTGGCGTCGTGACCGTTGGTGGCAGCACTGCTGCCGGAGGGATTCTCATCGCCGATACCGATTCCTGCGCTCTCATCGTTACTGCCGGATGCAACATTTTCGGCACTGCCCCCGGAATTTAGGGCTGAACCCTCTGATGGCCGGGAGCAGGAGCCGCTCGACGTAGAAGTAGTGCTCTGCATGATCGGTCCACAATTGCTGGGTCGAGCACTGCTGCTGTGGTTGTCCCTGTGTCTTTTCTTGTTACTGCTTCCTTCTGGGGGGGAGGTCGATTTTCGGATTCGTGTATTTCCTGGTGTGCCGGTCGAGTTAGTGTTCAATTGCTGCTGTAACTGTTGGGCCGCTCTTGACGTAGATGCTGCATCTATTGATCCTGCGGCTGGGGAAACAGAAACGGAAACGGATACGGACGAGGATGAGGACGAAGAGCCTCCTGAGCGACGACCCTTTTTGCGCGGCGGCTGGTCCTCGGAAGAGGCACCAGTTGCAGCAGCCTTTTTGTTGTTTCTATCAATTTTGAGTCCTTTGCGAACCGCACAGCAACAAGCAGCTCCTGCCTCTGCCTCTGGCTCAGCCTTAGCCTCAGCCTCGAGATCTCCTCAATCTTGACCGAGTGCCTTCCGAATCTGTCGACGCTACCTGATGGGCCTAGGAGGCCTTTGTTGGCGATTCCGCAAAGGGTATCAGCGTGATTACGGCTCCGTTTCTGGCAGTTGATAGCACACGCTGATAGCAATTCCCCGACGTTCTACGACCGCAAATGGGAATCTGGGAACGGACATAAAAAATGGTTTTACATTTCAGCTATTTTGTAAAATAAATTCAATAAATTAAGCTTCAGTTTATCAATATATATTGATAATGGTGCATGTGAATTAAAAATCAATTTTTCGATAAGAAATTTGTTGTTTTTTTCTTTGTATTTGAGTTTCTTTAACCTAAATTACAAACTTTACAAAATTATTCCTAAATATGAAACGTCGCAATTTATTCTATATTTTATTAAATTTCATTTTATTTTTTTAATCAATCAATCAATACAGCCAGCAATGATGACTTCAAGGGTATTTACATTCGGCTATTTTACTTCCTACACACTTACATTTGTAAGTATGCACTTTTTACATATAGACATCACTAGATGTTTGCTGCACAGTCATGGCAAACAGTATTGGTATTGCGTTTTAAAAGATACATTTGATCTGAACCTATTTTTTTTACAAATTTTGAATATTGGAAAGTCTTGGGACACCATAACCTGTTCCAAGGAAGGAAAATCATAGAAAAGTTGTAATAAACATTTTCCAAACTTGTATATTTTCGATAACAATCATTTTGAATGATATGCCAGGGAAAACTGGTTCACCCACACCATTAGAGAAAATGCACCCCCATTTTAATAGTTCCTAAAACAATGCATTTCATTGACGACCCTGTACGATGTATATATATTTACTAGGAAAATACTCCAATTTAATCAATATTCTTTATAATAAATCCATTAAATATAGCATTTGGGAAAATGTAAAACATCAACACGAATCTTTTCGTGGCTTTGCACACGAACACAACTGGTAACCTAATTTTGTGATAAAGAACTTACTACGTCTTAGAGGAAAGTAAAATTATCTTAAAAGATTAATTTTAGGGAATACTTTTTTTTTACGAAAGTAGGCGAGTTCGAAATAGACAATACTTCCGCCCCCGACTGTGTACCTCGTATTAATCAACTTTGCTTTGTTTTCAGTACAAAGGAATGAGAAAATACATCTATTTACATACATATTCAGTCGTTACACGCACAAGGTTTTCATTTTCTTTTCGAAATATTGGCAAGTATCTTATTCCTTAACCGATGTTTTAACAATCTAAAAACAGTTGCGGATGTTGGCTTTTACATTAACTCAGCTGCTGGGATTTTCGATCCCCTCATCACTTTCCACCTTGCATTTCTCTTTTGGCCTTCCAAGTGCATCCGTAATATTCATAGATTGATGTAAAAACAGTCACTGTCTTACACATGGACACTCGACTAAATGATTGAATTAAATGCGTAAATGATTAAATGGACAAACCGTAGTAACATTTGTTAATTGACGGACTTGCAATTGAAAAACAAAGACGAACGGACACAATATACATACAAATCTGATGATGAAACGCACTTAGCTGCAGCTCGAAAACAGTGTGGCCGCTCGAAAAGTCCATTTATAAAAAAAATACCAAAAGAAGGGAAAACAGAATATTTTTTTAAAAACAAAAATGCTTAAACATTTTAGAATTTATCTGTTTTCAAAGATAATTTAATGTTTTCTGAGTTTATTTCATAAGTAAGTCAGCATATATAAGTTTCAGCAGAAAACTAGTTATTTGAATAGACAGTGGTTAATTTTTTCGTGTAAAGAGTAAACAACTAATATTGCTGCTAATTCTGTTTTAAAAATATATATTAAGATTATATTATATTATATGAGGTGTTTTTGTTATTCATTCGTTTATTTCTTTAAATATTTAAAAGTTTTAAAATCTCGATTTGGTGGTATATTTATTTGGTATATTTTTCAAAAATAACATTTTCAGTTCAATATTTTTTTAACCGATTTTTGTTTTAAATTTAATAGCACAATAAAACTTTAAAAATTCTTTTAAAGAAAACTATAAATATTGTGATGTACCACTTTCACTGAGAACTAAAAATAACTTCAAAATTTGTTCAATTTTATTTTTAAAAGTAAATAATTTATATAAAAAATTAATCCTCCCATTAATAAACTAACCATTGTTCAGCACTTTTATACTTCTTCTTTATTTTGATAGTTCTAAATCTTCAAAATATTAGACAATTGAATTTCCTCTTTTACATATTACTTTTGTTGTGGGTGTAATATAATTGCATTAATAATCAATCTATTTACAAAATTTTGGGTGAATCGTTTTCAGTCTCACGCACATCATGCAAGTAAGTGTGATGCTGTGTGCGTTCAAACATCATATTAAAATATAAAACTTATCAAATGCCAGCGTATGGGTAAATTAGTACATATTTACTTGATAAATTCATTTATAATTTACACATTACTTAAATACTTAACAATAAACTAAGCTAGTCAATATACTATCTGTAGTCTATTTTATTATTATATAACAATTTGTTTTTGAATTAAAATGCTAATCTTTAACTGCTTCACTATGTACGCTTATATCGTAGGCTTTGAAACGTACTCCTCACTCAAAAATCGCTTCGCAAGCCTGTGTGAATCGCTCGTTTCTGAAATATTTATATTTATACGCACTGAGTTATTATATTACATTATTATGTTTCGTGAATTATTGCATTCCTGCTCATTATTGATGAGGCCTCAAGCGATTGCCAAATTTAGATTCGATTGAACAATAAATACAAATTGAAGAGTACAATTAAATATTTAAAACCAAATATATGTATCGTAATTGTTATTATTGAGTTTTTACAGCGATCTATTCAATATGCCCAACATATAAAGCAATTTATAAATGTAGCCAAGACTTTATTGAAGCTGTCTGAAACGCAACAGCGGTTAGGTTAGAGTAACTCAAACTATTCTGACCCTGTCCACGAATAACAGAATCCCATTACTAGTTACGTTACTATTAGTTACTAGTGCCACCAGGCACATTCATTCTCCTCCTCCTCCTCCTCCCCATCTTCATCGTGCTGTTTAATGCTCTCCCTTACGTTCAGAAGCGAAGCATACAGCAAATGCTAAGCATCTCCCACCATGGCAGCTCCATGCTGTTGGTATTTGGTCGTGGCTATCACCGTCGGAGGCAGTGCCTCTTGTTGTTCCCGCAGCTGACGACGTCGCTTTTTGCTCCAAAGCTCATGGCAGTCTTGCCACGTCGGCAACTGTGGCGTGGGCATGCTTTAAATATATTAAAACATCAGACAGGATCACATTAAACACCCAGAAAGAAAACTTACTCGTCAGGATTAATTTTCTTTAGCCATGGCGAACGGAGCGCATCTTCGGCCGTGATGCGCTTGTCGGGGTCGAGGTCCAGCATTTTGTCCAGAAGGTCAAGTGCCTGGGCTGGCATAAACTCAAAGTCTTCTCGCAGGCGGCGACGATGCGTCTTCTTCTGCTTCAGCGTATGAAACAGGGGCAGCTTTATAACATTTGGCCACACGGCAGGCACTGGAGAGCCGCAAATCTTTGATATGGTCTCCAGCTGCGCCATCTCGGCATTGGCCTGGAACAGCGGCCGCTTCACAAAGAGTTCACCCAGAATGCAGCCGCATGACCAGACATCAATCGACGGACCATATCGCTCCTCGCCCAGAAGAAGCTCCGGCGGTCGATACCACAGGGTTATTACTTTGTTCGTATAGGGACGTTCTCGATCGTCGGCGTTGTACAGCCGCGCCAGACCGAAATCCGCCAGTTTGACTTTACCTCTACAGAAAGGAGGAAAAAAATATAAATATTTTGAAGTACTTCCCTTCAAAGTATTCCTTAAACAAGGAATATCCTTCGAACTAAAGATAATATAAGTAATAGTAAGGGATATGGATCGCTTATGGACAGACAACTATGGAATAGTAATAGTAACTCCACTCCACCTCCATTTCTTAAATTCCTTAAATAATACACCCTAATTTTGACGCTCCGCACCTGTTGTTCATTAAAATGTTCGAGCACTTGATGTCTCGATGGAGAAAATTCTTTTTGTGGCAGTAGTTGAGGCCGTCCAATAGCTGCTTCATGATACTCGCGTTGTTCTCCTCGTTAAAGTCAACCATACCGGACTCGAGCAGACCCATTAGATCGTGGTCCATGTACTCAAATACCAAGTAGAAGGAGCCCTTATCTTTACGAAACTCTACTGCATCCTGTTTGTCCGTTACAATTTCGTGGAGGTTGACTATGTTGCGGTGGTTAAGTTGCCGCAATATTTTGATTTCACGCACAGCCGTAATGGGAAAGCCTTCTTTTTCATGCTCCAGACGGACCTTTTTCAGGGCCACCATGTCATTGGTATGATTATCCCGAGCCTTGTAGACCTGAAAACAGAAAAAATGATTAGACTTTGGGGTTGAACATGTTTTTCGGCTTTAATTTATTCCTTACCTGCCCGTAAGTTCCTTCTCCAATTTGGGCAATCATCTCGAACACATCCACGCACCGCTCGCCCCAGTCGCGAACGTTGTTTCGTGAATCCCTCCGATTGAGTATCACGGGGCGACGACGATTAGCAGACTGGGCACCATGACCACTGCCCGCATTGCCTCCCGATGGAGCATCAAAGTCCTCCGGACTGTCGATTACATCGTCGTCGCCACTTAGTTCTTCACTTCCCGGAATTACCGGCGGCATTGGAAGATTTAATAGACTTTTGTTGTTGCTGGCGTTGGAATTGATATTTTTCTCATCCGATTCTTTTTTCTGCGCCGGCGACGGAGATCTTTCATTGACCAAATCAAGGGCATTCATCCCAGGTGGCAAAGGCAACGCAGTCAGACTCTTCGGTTTGAGATTAGAGATTAAAGTTGTCTGTTGGGAGGGTTTCAAAGGCGTGGAGCTATCCAAGACGTCGGCGGAGCTAAGATTTGTATTTGGAAGCGGGTCAATCTCCTTGTTTGGCATGGGAATGTTATTGAGGTCGAAGTCTGGTTTGCCGCCGTGTTTCGCCACCTCAAGGCCGTTGGAAGTCGTGCTCAACGCTGCTGGTGTTCCACTTCCAGGTCCCGAGTTCGGTGTGTTGCCATCAATCGACGAGCTGTTATCGTTGATAGTCAGGGCACCATTACTATTGCTGTTGCTATTCTCCTCCTGCCGTTCGATAATCTCCTTCAAAGCCTTTTGTCTTTTGTGACGATCTTTCACCAATTCGGCAAACAGGCTTGTCTCGCTAATCTTCTTAATGTACTCCTCGCGTTTACTCTTGAGGTCCCGCGAGGCGGGTGATCGACTGCGCGATGCCGAGCTGTCACTACTGATCGAGCTGGGTGACCGGCGACGACTGCCCCCTCTAGTTCGTTGGCTTCTCAGCTTCGGTGAACGACGATGCGAGTGATGAGAGTGGTGGTGCGAGCTGGAAGCTCCTACAGGCGAAGGCGACGACAAGTCCATGTAACGAGAGCTGGTTCGTGGTGACCTCGAGTAACGATCCGCCGATGTTCCAACTCCAGAAGCACGTTTCGATGACCTGGCCGTATGAGAAGACGGTGGACTAGCCGCCGAGCTATACCTATGTTTGTGGCTGCTGCTGTGACGGAAAGAGTTAGAGCTCCCACCACCCGACGTAAGGCCACCTAAGGGAGATTGCCGACTCCTCGAGTGTTGCACACTTGGGCTCCTAAAAAGAATTAGAAAACATTAAAATTATAATTCCATAAAGGCTCCATTTAGTGTAAAAACTAAATGTTAAAGAACTACATTCTGTACCTCGATGACCTCCTGGAATACCGATCTCTGCTATAGCGATCATATTTGCTCGAATGGTGCCTACTGTGGTCAATGTTACCGATGCTCACATCCCGCCCATCGCCGTACTTTCGTCTTTTGTGGGGCGGGGTAGTTGATTGGTGGTTGTAGCGATCCATTTCTAAAAAAACCAACTCATTAATACGTTGTAGGAAGGTATATTTTAATAAACTAACCTGGTGTCAACCGCTTTATCTTCCTGCCATCATTTGTAGTCGCGTAGCGCCCCGGGTAGCCATCGTGATGGCTACTACGGTGATGCAGGCTGATATCATCTTTGTGGGGACTCTGCGCATATCGGGAGCTTCGCGAGTCGCGAGATCCTGATGTCCCCGCCACTCCTCCACCACTGATATGATGTGATGGCGGTGGGGTGCGCGGGGAGGTGGCAAACCTTGGCCCATTGCCACTGGATCGAGCAGACGAAGGAGGAGTCCGATGCCTGCTACCCCCAGCTGACTTGTTTGTGACGGTGACCTGCAAATTACTACCCAATGAGGTGCTGCTTGCTTCCACTCGTTCGGAATCACCGTAGTAGCCGCTGCTATTATTGGCGCGACGTGAGGGAGGCGGCGTTGCTGGCGGACTGCTGTCCGTGATGTTGTGAGGGGGCGCTGCACTGACTGTTCGCTCATTGCTCTTTTGCGGAGCAGTGGGAGGAGTGTAGCGACGGTCCAAAAGAGCATTGATCTCGTTGTCAGACATGGATTCGATGCTGGAGTAGGACTTGGCCCGTTTCTTCTTTCGCTTCTTGGACTTCTTTTTGGACTTGTGCTTTTGCTTCTCCTTCTTTTGCTTCTTTCGTTTTTGCCGCTTCATCTCAGCCTCCAGTTCATCGGTGTCGATGGTGTCGTCACTGGACATGTAAAGCTCCCTGCTCCACAATTCGTCCTTCGATGTAGTAGTTGCGGGAACATCTCTATGATTAGAGGTCTCTTTTCTAGAGTGTGAATCATTCGATTCGTCTCCACGTCGTTTTCTGTGAATTGTAATTATTCTGTAATATATGGATCGTAATGGATCTAATATTTTCTTACCTATAATTGTCATAGCCTTCCTTTTCGTTCTTAGGGGCGGGCCGATTTTTTGTAAACTGATTATCAGTGGCTGGCTTTGGTTTTTTGTTATTTGCTGCGGCATGGTCCGCCTCTCCGGCCTCGGCATCCGAGAAGTCTTCCGAGCTAACGTCCGAGTACTCCACAAGTGCGGTCGCCGCGGCGGAAGATGCATGCATCTTAACTTAGAATCTTCCTTGGATCGGAGCACCCGGAAGATTCAAATCCGTATATGTACGATTCCGTAACCACTTTAGTAATAACCAGTCTGTTGGTTTATTGTTTTCACCTGCAGCTGTAGTCGAGCTATTTTCTGTAGCTTGAAAGGGAAATTTTCCTCAAAGCAGCACCGAATTTATTTACATCGCTGCCTCTCTGCATTACCACAAATTCTTGAGATGTCTTCTTTACATGTTTATCGCGAGCATATATCAGCTTATTACCATCAAGCAAGTTCAGCTTTCAGTTCACGGGTGGTTTAATGGTCAAATTAATGTTTCTTTTCACTAAAATTAACATACAAAAAATTATAACTTGTCATTTTAAGGTTATAATGTGTTGAAAGTGTGACCAGAGCCCGTCTTCGCTTTCTACGGTGTGTCCAAAACAATATGTTATGCGATGAATATCTAAGGTTATTCCATGGCGGCTTTTTAAATATTGTTTTTAAGATTGTTTTTAAATAAAAATTGTAATTGAAGAAAATATTTAATAGTACTTAAGCCATTTACTAACTTTACTTTAACCAGCAATTCAAATATTGTAATATTAAATAAGTAAATAAAAATTATTATTTCAACCAAACTTTATTGTTATTTAAATTATTTTTTATTTAGTTATTTAGTTTAAAAAGTTTAATGAATATTATATACCAGCAAGCTGTTGGTATAAAATAAAATATTTTATAGAATAAAATATTTCATATTTAAAATTAATTTAAGGATTTCCGAGAATATTATACAGCACTGTTTTAGCACTGTTGCTCGTCGGTGACGTAGTGTTTTATAAAAGTGTGCGTGAAGCTGCAAGGGGCATACTACATACAAGCATACGAAAGAATATACGTATGGATGTGGGTCACTTTATTGTTCTGCGGACTTACCTGTTTTTGTTGGATAAATTATGCAAACAACACTTTTAAGGACCTTAACGAAACCGTGCTGAACCGAACTCACGTTTCTAAGCCTCTTATACGCCGAAACAAACGCACTGATTATTCTCAAAGTTATTAAATAACACGACTCGTACTTTTCGCCGTTGTTTACTCATTCGAATCTGATTCTTTGCTCGAAAATTGAATTATTTCTTTGTATGTTTATAACAGATAAAAGAAAGTTTGTTCAAAAGCAAGTTTCATGCATTAGGCATTGTTTATGTAGCTAAAACATTAGAATAAATTCGATTTTCTGCATTTGCAATAGCTGGCAAATTCTCGGCGATTAATCAACCAGGGCTGCAGAGTTGTTCAATGCCGTGGAATGCGATAAGAAAATAAATCATTAGAAAAGTTCTCATGTTCAAACGTCTTTTTTAATATAACTTCTTTTATATGGCTACGTTTAAAATTAAAAATTTCAAATCTCATTTTAAGCTATGAAATGATATTGCCGAAATTTTCATAGTTACAGAGAATATCGTTTTAAGATATATTTTTTCCAGACTGAAAGTCTATTTGGCTTAGGCCTTAATTAGCATATTATACAAAGACAAAGAACTGTTTTATTAAACTATAAATGTTTTATTAAACTGTTAACTATAATTGGTTTTAAGTATAAATTTAAAAAACATCGATAAATTTCTAGTGTGGGTTAATGTAATTCAAATCTAGGCTTTTATTTACCAACACTATCTGTGGCGTTCCTTTTCAAATTTTTTTCGCTTGTTTGTTTGTTTACATGGCTTTGGTTGAATAATAATAATAATAAGCAATAGTCGTAGCGATTATAATAACAACAAGTGACAATGTTATCCAACCGGGCTTTTGGAGAAACAATTGAGGTAGTGATTTCATGAATATAGCCTATAGACATTATTTAAGCGTTGTTTAACTTTGCAGGAGTACGAAGTACAGCACTTGTTGGGCAAAGGCGGTTTTGCGAGTGTCTATAAGGCAAGATGCCTACACACACATCAGGATGTAGCTATCAAAATGGTAAATAAAATGTAGGATTTCTTAATACAAAAAGTATTAAAATAATCATTTATCCACTAGATCGACAAAAAACTTATCCAGGGAACAGGACTGACCAATCGGGTGCGACAGGAGGTGGAGATCCACTCGCGTCTCAAGCACCCTTCCGTGCTGCAACTGTACACGTTCTTTCAAGACGCCAACTATGTTTATTTAGTACTGGAATTGGCCCATAATGGGGAACTGCATCGCTATATGAACCACATTGGAAGACCCTTTACGGAAGCAGAGGCTGCATCGATTCTGAGGCAGGTGGTAGCGGGCCTGCTGTACCTGCATTCCCATAACATTATGCACAGGGATATTTCCTTGTCCAACCTGCTTCTGAGCAAGGAAATGCACGTAAAGATCGCTGACTTCGGGCTAGCTACACAGCTGAAGCGGCCTGATGAGAGGCATGTAACCATGTGCGGCACCCCCAATTATATATCACCTGAAGTAGTGTCCCGGACGTCCCATGGCTTACCAGCTGACGTTTGGAGCGTGGGTTGCATGCTGTATACCCTGCTTGTCGGTAGGCCTCCTTTCGAAACGGATGCTGTGCAAACTACACTTAATAAAGTTGTTTTATCCGAATATATAATGCCGACTCATTTATCCTACGAGGCACAGGACTTGATTAATAAGTTACTGAAAAAGGTTCCGCATGAGCGTATTGCTTTGGAACATGTTTTACGGCATCCATTTTTGACAAAGAGTTTGAACAACAGCACCAATGGAGTGTACTCAGCGCCGGGCGCGTTGAATGTGTTCAGTCAGAGCCTGGAGAGTGGGGACAGTGGTATTATTACCTTCGCAAGCAGTAAGTAATGATAAAAGTATGTTTTAAACGTGTAATAATTATTCTGAATCCCATTAGACGACTCTAGAAATTCGCATCGGCTTCGGTCTGTAGAAAATACGGCACCCCTTCAAGCATTACCACAAATACAGGAAGAATTTATGCAGGACAAGTATCGACCCACCTATGATCAACCGATGGCCGGTTTATTTAAGCAACCTTCGAGCACGCGTATGGAACAAAATTGGTTACCGAAAGAAAAGGATGCTCCGTTTCGCATGGAAGTTCCCGCGGTAGAGAAGCCTGCTCCTTTAAAGGAGGAACGCATTTCGGTACCTCCATTAAATACAAAGAGGTTGCTACCGACGCGTTATAAAACAAAAAATGCAATTATGAGTATTCTGAGGAATGGTGAGGTTGTACTCGAGTTTCTAAAGTTTCGGCCGAAGTTTAATGAAGACCGAGTTACTGATATTTGTCGCATTTCCGACGATGGAAGGCGTATTATAATTTACCAACCTGATCCCGGACGGTAAGAGGCAATCATTAACCTTTTTTACGTTTTACTGAATTATAAATTTATATTCATTTAGTGGTTTACCTATAAGAGACCATCCACCAGAGCTCCAGATACCGAACGAGGACTGTGTTTACAACTACGACAGTTTGCCCAGCAAGCACTGGAAGAAGTATGTTTATGCCGATCGTTTTGTGGGCCTAGTAAAGAGCAAAACCCCGAAAGTCACCTACTTCAGTGCATTGGGAAAATGTCAACTGATGGAAACGATGACGGACTTTGAGATTCGCTTTTATTCGGGAGCCAAGCTGATTAAATCGCCCTCTGAGGGACTTAAGGTTTATAACCCGAATGGGATGCTATTATCGGATCATGCTAGCGCGGAAGCTCGATCCATGATAGATCATGGAAACGAGTGCTTTACACATTGTGTTAGTATCAGCAATGCCTTGGAACTGGCCCAGACTAAAGACAATACATGTTTTCCTGTCACGATCGGACGCAGGCCAGTCACAGAGGTGCAACCATCTCAAAGGCTTGACGGTCTTAGAGACACTACAAACTTTGCCTATTCAACACCAAAATCGAATCAGGTACGGAACTGTTTTCTCTTTTATTGTATATTTTTATTGAATCATTGTTCGTCTTAGGGCTCAATCAATTTTTCCGTAAGCACTATTTCGTCGATTCGAAATACCACTGACTTTGGATCAAACTCCTCGAGAACAAACATGCTAGCCGCTCAGCAAAATATTCCAATCAAACGCATCAATCTTCCAGACATTGGAGTCGCTACAGAGGTAGGATATTTCTTGATGGTTTTTAGAGTTTATTAAGTACTATATTTATGTATATTTTAGTTGTCCCATGGAGTTGTACAGGTGCAATTTTATGATGGATCTGTGGTGTCTATCATTCCGGACATTCAAGGAGGCGGCGTCACTTACACCCAATCGAATGGAATTTCAACTCACTTTGGCAGAGACGACGACTTGCCATTTACAGTCAGAGAAAAACTTAGCCAGTTGCCGCACATTCAATTGAAGTTGAAGACAGCTCCTCTTTTGAGCAATAGCAGGAAGATTGAATACAATGCTATGACTCCCAAAACGACGACGCCTTGCTATAATCGCATGCTTTTATAATCAAATCAAAAAGTTTTACTTGCAGAGTTTAGGCATAAAATAATACATTTGTATTGTAAAATAAAAGTAACTATATATTTTCTAAGTTCCCTTGGCCTTTAATTGGTGTTCTGTATTATAATTATATATTTCCAATTTCAAACAGATAGTTGGTTTTATAGATCTTTATTAAAGTGCTTAGATGCCTAAGTGTAAACACTTGCTCCTACTTTTTTGTATAGATATAGGTTAGAAAAGTGTGGTATAAAATATATTAGCATTATATTAGAGATAGATGTATATATATTAAATACAAGATAAATATACGGACCTATATTTACTTCAATCGATTGATATTAAAACTTTTAAATCTATTTGTTTTTTATATAAAAATGCTACTTCCGCCCAGATAGAAATACTTCGGCAGGATTCGTATTGCTTTACAATGCTAGACGCAATAGTGAAATATACACATTTAAGAGCAATTTCTTGTACAGATATTATTAAAGGTAATCATGCTTGGATGGATTACACTGTACATAATATATATATATATTATTTCGATTAACTAACGTCGTTGTATTTATAAGAAGATGCATTAAGCAATTCAGAAGAATCAATTTGAGCATAAGCATTATTTGTCTTTCAAGTTTGTGTGTATTTATTGTTGGTAAGATGATAACAAACAGAAGAGCGAGTGATTAACTAAGGTGAAGGTATGCTAACTTAATGTAATGGACGGAAAACTAATATAAGTGAAAGTACAAAGGCATGTGAAAAGCGCTAATGGTTTGGCAGTTTTCGGTGATGTTTGTGCGGATGCAGGAGCATAAATTAATTATAAAGCAAATAACGCATTAAATGAACAAGCAATCATGCAAAATAATCTTTAATCTTAGGTCTAAACATAAAGTCTTAACTATAGCTTGTCGGTTTTCGATGGAGTTTAGTTTTCGGTTCGATGTCTCAAATAGCGCTCGACTTGTCCTTAAGCTCAAATTGAATCTTCTGAAATATGTCCTAGAAGCGGTCCTTCGACGTCGCACTGTACTCCAGCTCGTTGAGGTTCTGGATTTCCTGCAGTTCCTGGAACTTTTCATGGTCCCGGATATGCGCATAGTTGGCAGACAGGCACATCAGGTAGTGGACCAGACTGAGGATGACCAGGAGCGCAGATAGAGTGGCCAATATGAACATGACTTCAGCGTTTTCAACTCCGTCTTTGCAGAAAGCCTTGATCTCGTATTTTTCGCACACCTTCATATCCTCGAGTTTGGTGTTTGGAGGGAACATGAAATCTATATAAAAAATTACATTAATTAGATGTCTATTGGTGAAGATATTCAAAAGATATCCTTACGAAATTGGGTCAAATCAATGCAACTTTGAGAGTGCTCCACACTCGAACACATGTTCCAGAACATGGTGTATATGAAGGTAACCACAACCAGGAAGCATAGGATCAGACTCCATACAAAGTTGAGCAGATAGGTTATGCCCATGAGCACGGCGCACGAGATTCGTCCTCCCACACGGGATCTCCACGCCCTATAGACCTTATATCGGGTGGCACCTGTTGCCAGGAACCCAACAAACAGAATCATAAATCCCAGGGCTGCCATGCCGGCTCCAATTATGACGAAGATCATCTGAACGGCCTCGATCCTGAAAGGGAACAGGTACAAGTATATTACAATATTGTTCAATGTTATGTTTGATATGTTAATCACTCACCATATCAGGCGCAGGTGAAACACTTGATCCACCATTATGACGGTAAGCGAAGCCCCTCGGTACATGGTGAAGCAAAAGATGCCCACTCCCAGGAGGCACATGAGGGTGGCGATCAGGGTGGCGTAGGGAATACGGGCCATGCATGATTGACAGCAGTCTCCTGTAATGGGGGGACATTATTTTAATTAATGTGATTAACAAATTTAAAGTAAAAATAATTTTTATTTAAAATAAAGCTACACTAATAGCTTCCAAAGTCTAATAACAGACTCCTTGAAAGGTTCTATGTGCCCAAAAGAAAAAGAGTTGTAGGTGAAAAGAATTTAAAGAGTTTTTGCTGAAATATTCTTTAAAGGATAGTCTTAGCTATTGTCTAAAAAAATATAATAAAGATATCATAGAGAAAGCTATATTGAAATTATAAATTTGTAGTTTTATAAATATATAATTTAATTATCAACAATAAATTAAATCTTTATATACTCTTCTATAGTTTTTGAGAAAATATAATAAAAAGAGAGAAAAATAAACATTAATAGCGATTCTACGGAAATGAGAGTATCAAATTATTATTAATCAACAAAAAGGTGAAAAATGGTTAGCGTGAAACAAAGTATATACCCGCGGTACATATCTGACAAACAAATGTTTCTAAATATATATATGTTTTTTTTTATAGACATATAGACGTAGTGGCTTGTGCAAGCATAAAGGGAAAAGAGAGTGATAAGATAACAGGTGAACCAGCGACTGGCAGTGATACAGGTTGTCCAGTGATTCACGTAAAAGCAGAATAAGCCACAAGGTGTACACACACATTTAATTCAGTGAAGTGAAAATGTTTCTTTTTTTTATCGAACTATTATTTGGTGTTTCGAAAACATCAATGGCCCAGAAATGTGGGTTCCGATTCGTACCTTCGCCTCCGCGCTCTGTGTACCTGTCCAAGGAGTGATCCGAGCGATAGGAATTCCGGCGACGATTCTGAATTCCGGTCGCATTGTACGGATTGCCGTTGTAGGCCCGCGTCAGGACGCCGCCGTCGTCCTCGAAGTTCGTCTCGAGCAGGATCTCCTCGCGTGGATCCCGGATCCGGTCTCGATTATTGCTCCCCCTGCCCGGCATACTGCACAGCGCTTTTATTTTTAGATCGGAAATGAATGCAGGAATTGCACACACAGGTTTTAGTTAAAAGAATTTGTATTTTCACCAGCCAAGTTCAGCACATAATGAATGATTCACAAGCGCACCGACGTCATTCATGCGGAGGGGCTTAATAATTAGTCTTTATAGTTTTACGAACGAACAACGATTGACCCTCCCGTAGAAGACGCACAATCAGAATGGGGACTGCCAGTTTCTACATTCTCTGTTCTTCCAAAGAGAGTGAGAATACATACACTCTCGCTGATAACTGCCTTTGTTAAGTGTTACTCTTACTTTCATGGAGGGTATTGTAACTTTTTCTTAAAGTGTAGGAGTTGGAAGAGCTAAAAAAAGCTCCAGACTTTTTTAAAAAGGCAGGGATTCAAAAACTTCCCAACTATAGCTTAGAGATGGTTCTGGAATAGATCTTGTATCTGTTTCTCACAAAGACCTGTATCTGAAGCCTCAAAAAGTCCCTGTATCTAAAGGGAATATAAGCTTGAAATATCTGTAAGAGTATGCCATATTCGGCCTTAATGGAATTTATCTTTACTTTAATGTTTTTTCTCTTAATTTTTCTCTTACTCTGCACTCAAAAAAATAGTATTAAAGTTGCTTCTATACTATAGATGCTTTTGCTTAAAATTAGACCTTTTAGGGCTTTTATTTTCATACAAGCAAAATATTATCAGTATTAAAAAATTTGATAAAAAAAGCCAACAATTTTTTTATTACTCCATAATGTTAATTAAAAATTAGGCTTCATACATTTTTCAAAAATGCAATTCTTTTTTTAAGCTCTTCTTTTGATCTTGTTTCTGTGTAAAAAAGGCGGGCTACTTGAATTAAATGAGACAATTAGAACTCGTTGGGAGAAGTTTACGGCTTCGGTCGGGTCAAAAAGTCAAAATAATAAAGTTAAATTAAGTTAAGGAACAAGAAATGATACTGCCGTTTTTAAGGCAAGTTGAATGTAAGACAATGAACTTGAATAACTGAAGTTGGGCTATTTGCTTTTGTGGGATTTCGCATTTGCATAAAAAATTGGCACTTGTAACCCACATTCTTACCTATTATAACAACGTTAATTAAAAAGAATGTTAAATAATAAACTGAAAAGCTAACTAAAAAGTAACAAACAAGATAAATCCTTCTATCATTGACACTTTTCAACCACTCTTTGCTTTGAAAATAAGCTAATTAGGTGCTTAAGGACATTAAAATGACAGTTTAAAAGCCCCAGCCAAGATAGACAGGACAACGACCTTAGAAAAGCGAATAAGACATCCAGATTACATCCTGCCCAGGAAGCGGCTGAAGAGCCTTTTAAATGCATCCGCATTTGTGAGTTTTCTCACCGGAACTCCCGCGGTGTCTGTGGCAGGCAGGCAGCCAGGCAGCCAGGCAGCCAGGCAGACGGAATGAAAATTGCCACCGAGGCGGCTTTGGGCCACCAACTTTTAACTTCCAGTTGGTAGATGGTAGATGCTAGATGCCAATGACACCCAGCAGGGCCCAAACGCAGGCTTTAGAGCTCGGCATTAGAGCAAAACATTAATTCCGGTAGCGTGCAATGACTCTTGCCAAATGAAATATGGCCGGGAGCTAGAGCGTAAATAAAATAATAGAGGAAGCTCCAAGCTCCTCAGCTCCAAGATGTCCCAGATTTGTGGCTCCTTTTTAAAAACAATTATTACAGGCTATTATTTTTTGTCTGGAGCTTTGCCAAATAACTTTAAAACAAGATAATAGTAACGTGGGTACTTTGGGGGGATAGTTTTCAAACTTTAGACTCTAAAATAGTCATAAAAAAGTCGCCAATAACCTATCTGACTTATTGACCCAGATTCTTTGAAAAGCTTAGCTTCGTGCCTCCACAAAACTGCACTTTGTTGCAATGTCAAACACATGTCAGTCATATAGGAATATTCAATTACTTCTCAGGTACAAATCAACATAAATTGCCTCTAATTATTGCCAATAAAATTTCGGTTTGGATAAATTGTCTTTAAGAATAGGATTCTTTATACATCATGTAACTTGTATATCTATATTTTATAGTTTATTCTGAGAATAAGTAAATAATATTTTAAAATTATCTTGCTCAAACGTAAACATATTTTAAGATTTTTCTTTAAAAAACTTCAAAAGCTCTAAGAAATAATTTTAAATATTATAAGCCTAAAAAAGTTTAATATTTACAGAGTTGAAGCCTAGGTTACTAACTTTAAATTATAACCTAAATTTTACAATTTGAATCCCACCTTTTCCAATTAGGCATATGTTTATGGTTTTGTTTACAATTTGAAACTGTTAACCTTCATTACTTACCCATTTTGAAGCGCTTTATTTTGTTACCAGGTTCCAATTAGATCATTTAAATAACTTCACCTGGCAATGCAAGTGTTATGCAGCGCTATTTTAGTTGTTAGAGTTGGAATTTCTGAAGACTTTTACATATGTTTGTATGTATACAGTTCGCTCTGGTGGCCAAACTCAAAACAAGTTTTAAGGTGTGAGCTTGGGCCAGTGGAAGGGGGAATACTCGCGCTTAAATCTTTTAGCGTTAAATTCTATTCAATTTGGTGTATTAACCAAAAAACTGAATTTATCACTTATTACAGCTTGACGCTTATTTTTGCACTTGTTTATTAGCCTAGGCCTCGGACGCTTTTGACTTAATTCGCATAAAAACAAAGAGTGAGTATCTGCCAGATACTATCTACACAATAACGAGTTTAATGCAACGGAGTGGAGTCTGCCAGTGTGGCCGCAGCTATGGCGCTAAAACAATACCACTACTTGGACATCTTCTATTTTATTTTGTATTATATTTAACAAATTTCTTTATCATATTATTACTCTTTATTATATCTTTAATCTTAAATTTGAAATAAATATATAAACTTTAAAAATTTTGTATTCAAAAACTATCGGTAAAACTTCTAACTATCGTATGGGACTTTTCGCAGTCTGGCAACGGCTGTGAGTCGCAGGCTGAAGATTGCAAAAGTTTTTTTTACCTTCTAAATGCCAAAATAGCTAAATAGCACCATAAAAAAAGGCTGAGCATATACTATCCGGTGATATTAGCGGCCAGGGGTCGACTTGAAGCAATGACTAGAACCTAAGAGTTACGGATCAGCTACCGGCTTTATTTTACCACGCACTTTCTGCAGTTTTTGTTGTTATTGCTGGAGAGTGCATTCCAGAAGTCGACGAAGTTCTAGCTGGATACTGAGTTTGTGGCCGGTTCATAAGCTTACGCAAGCAAATTGGCTGTGGATTGAATCGTGGCCTGCTTTGATGACCCCTTCAGATCGATCAGACAGATAAAGATGCTCCGCACTTTGTTGATACTCTTTTTGGCAACTTCCGCTTCGGCCGGAGACCCGTTGGAGAACTCCCGCAACCGAAGATCCCCCGTTGACGTGGACAGCGATGCCGCTAAAGACATGCACAGTATCATAGACTTGGCCGACTGCCACGACCTCAAGAAGCTCTGTATCCACCAGAAGTCCACCGATAACCTCTCCATGTTGGAATGCGTCCTTACCTTCAGCTCCAGCCAGCTGGAAGAGCTGCCCGATGGATGCCAACATGCTGTTTGGCTGCAACAGCGTCAGTTGCAGCTCCCCAGCTGGTTGGAACACCAATTTCTGCCCGCCTACTGTCCAGCGGAGCGACCCAAGCTGGAGAGCTGCCTGAACTCTGTAAATCTCTGGAGCTGTCTCGACCAGCAGCGGTTAAAGCTGCCCCAAAGCAACGCCTGCCATCAACACTTGCGACGTGGCTACGAGGCTCTAGGTCCGGACTACAGTGCCGTCGAGGAGTTCTACACGGCTTGCTCGCCTCTTGTGGAGGAGCACAAATGCGGCCGCCTAAACATTGATCACCTGCCTTCGGTGCTGTCTCAACTGGGAACGGTGCAGTGCCTGCAAGCTAGTGTGCCCAAGACCAGCATGGAAGCCACATGTCTCAGCGCCGTCAACTCCATCGAGCTGCAACGCGGCATGCTGGAACTGTTTCGGGTCTGCGAGCAGGACCTCGCTTTCCTGTGTTCACAGGTAATAGGAGTATAGAATTCTACTGTTCTACGCAGTTTGGTGTTCTTGATGCTTTCATTTTATATAGTATAAGTTAGATAAAAAGGAAATGAATCATGATTCATTATAGATAAGGTTTAAGATACGTATTTTCAATTCAAAGTCCATACCAACTTGCCCATACCTTTCTTTTATTAACTTTTAATGATATTAAAACCTATATTTCCTTACAGGAAAAATCAGGGACATCGGGAGCCTTTAAGTGCCTGATGCGCCACAAGAACCATCCCTCGATGTCGGCTTCCTGTGCCCAACAGATCACCAAGCGGGACCAGCAGATGGGAAGCGACTACCGCGTCTCGCATGGACTGGCCAAGGCCTGCAAGGACGACATAAAACTCCACCACTGCCGCAAAGGTGTCTCCGAAGACAAGCATGTGCGGCTAGCCCAGATCCTACTCTGTCTGGAGTCGGTTTCCAAGAACGGGACCAAACTGGCACCCGCTTGCCTCGCCGAGCTAAGTGATCATCGTCGCATGTTGATGACGGATTATCAACTATCCCCAGAGCTCCTCAGCGACTGCGCCGATGACATACCCAAGTTCTGTCCGGAGGAGCACAAGGCACAGCTGGTGAATGGACTGGCGAGCACGGGCGGGGAGATTATTCACTGTCTGCTGTCTCACGTGAAGGCCAGGCGTCAGCAGCGACGGGTGACGGCTCAGTGTCAGCGAGGCTTGGAGACTTTGATCAAAGTCAGTGATGCTGGAGAGGATTGGCGAGTAGATCCGGTGCTGAGGCGGGCATGCAAACCCGTTGTGGATCTGGCGTGCAAAGACGTTGAGGGAGGCGAAGCTAGAGTCATGAGCTGCCTAGTGGAGCGCATTGGAACCTCGGTGATGCTGCCCGAATGCGAACAAGCTCTCCTGATCATTGAATATTTCGTGGCTAGGGACTTCAAGCTGGACCCACAGCTCTACAAGCACTGCCGCGATGATGCCGTCAAGTATTGTCGTGCGAAGAAGCAGTGGGATGATGCGCAGAGCATCCAAATGGACCCTGAACGCGGCCCCATGATCTTGCCCTGCCTTCATCGCATGGCCTTCAGTGAAGACGAGCACCAGACCTTGCGGCCAGAATGTTTCAAGGAGGTGAAGCGAGTGATGCGCCAGCGCGCCATATCAATGGATCTCATACCCGAAGTGGAGGACTACTGCCTCAATGATCTTTCGGTGTTTTGTGCGGACTGCACCGAGAAGGGCAGCGAAATGGAGTGTCTGCAGAAGAACATGGATCAGCTACAGAAGGAGTGCAAGGCGGTAGTGGTCAAGTACACGGAGGAGGAGGCCGCTCACGTCGAACTCAACCCCGTGATAATGAGTGTCTGTGGCGAGGCCATGCAGCAGCACTGCTCGTCCATTCTGAAGAGCGGAAAGGACAATGGTAAGAGCTCATCTTTAAACTAAAATATTAAAAGATAAAAAGATATTAATGATGTCATCTTAAAGGCGACATGATGGACTGCCTCATAGCGCACAAAAATGACGCCGATCTCCGTAAGGACCTGCGCTGCCGCGCCGCCATTGAGCACTTCCAGATCATATCCCTGAAAAGTTTCCACTTTACGCCCAAATTCAAAGAGGCATGTCGTCCATTCGTCAAGCGATTCTGTTCCTCGAGTGCCACCAAGACCGAGGTGGTGGCCTGCCTCAGCGAGGTGATGCGCAACGATACAATCAAGGCGCAGCGCCACCAGATCACCAAGGAGTGCCGTCACCAGGTGAAGGCGCAACTCTACCAGCAGCGGGAGAGCATTCAGCTCGACCCAAAGCTAGCCAATGCCTGCAAGCGCGAACTGGAACAGTTTTGCGAAGACCAAAAGGGGCCCGGTCAGGTGAATGAAAAAGCAAGTTGTCTAACGCATCCTTAACCATTTAACTGTCTTAACACAAGGGTCAGTGGATGAAGATTACTATTTCAAGCAGGAACTTAAAGTAATCCTCATTGCTTCCTTAACACGCCTCATACTTTAACCAAAAGAAAACTATTGTATAGACCACATACTCACTTCTTCATTAAAATTACTATTTTTAGGCTCTGGAGTGCCTTATAAAGAAGACGTCCAAGTTGGGCAAAAGCTGCCACCATGCCATCTTCGTCATCAAAAAATCGGAGCTGGGCGACAGCGGCACCGACTACACCCTTCTTAACACCTGCAAGGAGATGATTTACAAGTTTTGCCCCAACGTGGATTCGGCAAAACTCTTGGACTGTCTGAAGACGTACAAGGATGACTCGGTTTTCGACCAGCGCTGTCATCTGGTGGTGGTCAACCGCATGATCGAGCAGAACACCGACTTTAGATTCAATCCGTCGCTGCAGAGTGCCTGTGGGAAGAACATTGATCGATACTGTTCCAGTATTGTGGCCTCTGCCGTGCCCAACGAGGAGCTCAATGGAAAGGTAAGATGATGGCTTGGGAACTACTTTTATTATTATCCTTTAAAGAAACTAAGAGGAACATATAGACGTACATATTGTAGAAGGAACTTCGAAATCAAGGTTGATCAAAACTTAAAAATAACTATCATAGGAAACATTTTCAAAACTCCACATCCTCCCGCTGCAGTCTTCCATTGTCGGGATCATCAATGGCTGCCGTTAAGGTATCCAACAAGTCCTCGCCTTTAGTTATCTCCAAGGCTAGTTTATTGTAAGGACCACTTGGAGTGCTCAAAGGACTCAGTCCACTGGGCACACCATCAATGGCAAAGGAAGTCCACACTTCCACCATTTTCTGGGCCATTAGGGTGTCCTGCTCGTCCAAGGGATGCGTGGCAAACAGGTAGATGTTGTCGTTGGAATGATGTACTCCCCCGTTGAATGGATAGTGCGAGTTTCCGAATTCATAACCAAATCTTGTATGCTCCCCCTCATACTCGAAACTGTACACATAGACGGGTGTGGCCGGCTGGTGGGTGTGGATGTTGTTGGCCAGGGTTATCACAGGAGACTTCATGTAGACCACCGATGTGAGCTAAGGAATACATTATTTCAGTTGTCAGTTGTTAGAGTTCTTGGAACTTACATCAAAGTATGCTGGTATTGCGGCTTTGTGGTCGTGGCTCCTTAATAGTTCCGGATTGAAAAGCAGTCGGTATAGGAGATTATCGGAGAGTCCTGAGGAATCCTTGATTAGATTATCGTTAAACTCCTGGGTGAACTGGCGAACCGTCAGAGCGCTTACATTCCCAATATTTTCCGTAAGAGTGTCGTAATAAGCTGCATCACATAATTATTCTCCCTTCTGGAACTTAATTACATAAAAGTTAATTATACTTACTGGCCAAAACAAAGGAGCCATCATGCTCCGTGAATCCTGTCATCAGTGGAATCTGCCTGCGGTAGTTCTTCATCAAATCAGAGGGACTTTGGGGCAGGATTCCCTGTAGATCTCCCACAATCGGGGAAAATCTCTCCAACATCGTAATTCTCGCCAAATCCACAACCTTGGCTTCCCTCAGACACCTGACCATCTGGTCATCCTGGTCACAATTGCTGCATCCCAGCTGGGCACAGACTCTCCTGGTCTGGGCAATGGGATCCGTATTGATCGCCCATTTGGCGAAAATCGAACCTGATTGCACAATGGCCCTCTTGAAGAGATTCTCTTCTGTTTTGGGACTTAGGAGGAGGGCACTTGCCACTCCGGCTCCGGCACTCTGGCCGAAAATGGTCACCCTTTCGGGATCACCCCCGAATCGATCAATGTGCAGCTGCACCCATTCCAGAGCCAACAAAATATCGGCAATGGGCGCGTTTCCGGGTAGCTCTTCCGAGTAGGTAGACAGCCAACCGAGAGCTCCCACTCGGTAATGAGGCACCACCAGGACAACATCCTTCTCTAGGATGTAGTTGGGCGGGTGATCCTCAGCCGAGCCATTGTAGTATCCCCCGCCATAAATGTAGAACATCACAGGCTGGTTGGCAGTGAGCTGAAAGGCAATCTCTATAAATATTTTGTTAGAAAACAGTCTTGGTAGACTCACGTTTTTGGTGTAGATCGATAGATTAAGGCAATCTTCGAGCTCAGCATCTGAAAGCTGGCCGTCCAAATTGGTAATCACGGGGCAGCGTTGTCCAAAGTTCACGGCGCTAAGGGTGTGCGACCAAGCCGATCGCGCTACAGGTGGCTATCGTCATAAAGCTTATCAGTTAATTGCTTTGCGAAAATCTTAATTGTCAATATGACTCTTAAGACTCTATTGGAGAATAGTGTTGACTTTTGGACCGCACGTGACTCACCCGAAAACGCAGTTCCCCTGTGGGCGGTTCGGCGTACGGGATTCCTCGGAATTGCATAAATGTCTGATCCGTCCAGGCGGTCACTCCATAATTGCCCAGCACTTCCCCCTGGCCGTTGGCTAACTGCACGGTCACGGTGGGGGAATCGGCGGCATCGGCACCCGGGCTACCGGTCAGGGAGATCACCAGCCAGGTGGTTAGAGCGGCGGTTGCTACTCCGCACAGACTTAACATTACGTATACGCCGCGTCTACGCATGGGAACGGACTGATTGGGACTTGAAGCGCAGACGAGAGCGCAGCCGAATGTCGAACGAATTTCAGCCCACGATCAGTATAGCTAGTCCCAGGCGAAAACTATTTTTTTTTATTGGCTATCTGATTTTGTTATCTGCAGTGGGCCGGCCGTCTAAGCAAATCCCCTTTTTTAATTGAACAACCTTTGGATTAAGTAATTGTTTTCGGATTAAAATTATTTTATTGTTGCCAATATGCATATGGCACTTACGACAGGAAAACATTCTGATTGACTCAATGCACTTTAATTAATTGGCAATTTATTTTATTGTTCTGCAGGTCATTCAGTGCCTGAAAGACAAGTTCCGGCAATCGGCGCTGGACGAACAGTGCGCCCAGGAGATGGTCAAGATCCTGCAGGAGCAGGCTCTCAACTATAAGCTGAATCCACTGCTGCAGACGTTCTGCAAGTCGGAGATCCAGGAGCTGTGCAAGGCACACATGGACGCCGATGAGCATGGCCAGGTCGCCGAGTGCCTCAAGTCGGCCTTCCTCCAGAAGCAGATCATCAACCGAAACTGCCAAATGGAGGTGGCCACTCTGATCGCCGAGGCCAAGGCTGATATTCATGTGGATCCCATTTTGGAGACAGCCTGTACCGTAGATCTGCTGCGATACTGCTCCAAGATCTCAAGCGGCAATGGGCGAAGTGAGCTTACAAAACACTTAAGCTATCAAATCCTTTAATATCCAACATATCCTACAGAACTGAACTGCCTCAGGATGCTGCTAAAGGACACGCCCAACTCTCTGGATGCCGACTGCCGTGAGAAGCTGCAACGACGCATCGAAATGTTCCAGAACGCGGACGATACGCTGGCAATGCCACCGGAGGACGTGCAGCAGCTGGTGCAACAGGTGGTGGCTTCACCGGCGCGCAAATTCTTCCTTGTGATACTGATGAGCGCCACGGGCCTGGTCTTCCTCACCGGCATCTTCCTCGGACGGGCCACCAAACGTGCAATGGGCTTAAAGAATAAATAAAACAATAATAGACTGTAGACTGTAGTTGCTGTGTAGAGCCGGAGTGTGTGTGTCTGTGAGCTTGTTATTTTCCATTTCGGCTGATCCATGACCCCGGCAGACCGATGATCGCATCCGATCCAATCCCATCCGATCTAACCCTACCTTCCTCTCACCATCCACTCTGCCTGCCTTTTTGAATATTTTTGTAAGCAATTCGTGGCTTAATCGTTTGTAAGACCAAAAAGTAAGCGAAAGTAAAAAAAAAGAGTAAATATTATGCTAGAAAATAAAGTGCTAGTTCCATTCTTAGGACCTTTTTATGTTATACCTCTTTTTTTATAATATCACCTGTATATTAAATTGTATTTTTGTAAAGAATCGTGGTTTTTTAAATTTATTTTTAGGGGTGAACCATAATCAAAGGATCTTTTTGCTGGGTTGGCATGAAACTTGAAAAGCTGTTTATAATCAAGGACATTATAATTACTAGTCTGAGATAATGCAATAAGAGTTTGTAAAATATCTTTGTAAGCATTTATTTTTATGGGTAGTTATATTTTTTATTAGCCATAAAAATCAAGACGTGTCAATAGTTACAGTTACAAGTATCATTTTTAAACTGCAAAAACTTCAAAATTATCTTATTTTTAATAATATGATCAAAATTTTCATTTCTCCAAGTTATAGTAGAGACCATATATAAAGATTATTGGGGATTATATTATTTATTGACAAACAAAAAAACGGATAACGTCGTGTTATTCCATAATCGGCATTTAATTATTTTTTAATTGTGGGTTTTTTCCTGCGCGTTTATAGTTATCATTTGAGCAAAAAAATAAACATAAAAAATAGTAATTTTTTTATGTTTCAAATAAATATGATGATGCAAAATTACAGTCTCTGTAAAATAGTTATTTTTGTTTAAATTTCGACCTTTATTCGTGATGATCTAAGAAATTTATACCAATTTTGTGGTATTTTCGGTATGTGGATCTGGTCACTTTATTTTTCCATATTTGTTTGTGTCTTTGGGGAGTCAACAGCTTATTTTTGGTGATATTATCTGCTTGAAACTACAAACACAAAACACAAATGTAAACTGCAAAGAAAGGAGAAATTCGTGTTAATATAATTTCAAGGAAATCCACTGTATCCAGCATAATGCGATGGAATACAGTTTTCAATTTCTATTTCACCTTCTTCTGCTGCGTGTTTAATAACTATGGCAAACTGGGCATACATGCCCATGACGCACGGGCCCCAGTTCCATCCTCGCACCCTGGCAGCGGCAGTGGCGGTGGCCACTCCGCGGCGCCACATCCTGAACATCAACACCTGCCCAGAAGCTCCTACAATCTGCTAAGCGAGGCCATGTCCCAGGCTGTCAGTTCGATGGAAAGCGGTTCAGCAGATGGCGCCTGCAATGCGGATGACCTGGACTGCTATCATGGTAATGTACAGGATCGTTTCGGTTTGGAGGCCATTGCCAGCTTACATCGCCAGCTGGACGATGACGATAATGGGAACATCGATCTGAGTGAATCGGATGATTTTCTGCGCGAGGAACTAAAATACGACTCTGGCTACGAGAAGAGGCAGAAGGCCTTCCATTTTAACGACGACATGCACATATCCGTCAAGGAGTTGTGGGAGGCCTGGCTCCGATCCGAGGTGCACAACTGGACCATTGAGCAGACCACCGACTGGCTGGAACAATCCGTTCAGCTGCCCCAGTATTCGGATCTCTTCAAACTGCACAAAGTGACTGGTGCTGCTCTGCCCAGGTTAGCTGTGAACAATCTCCAATATTTAAGTCATGTCCTTGGCATCAAAGATCCCATACATAAGCAAAAAATCTCTCTAAAAGCTATGGATGTGGTCCTCTTTGGGCCGCCCCGTGAAACGGGCACCCATTGGAAGGACTACATACTAGTTACCCTGCTACTGAGCGCTATTATTGGATGCTGGTACGCCTACCAGCAGAACAAGGATGCCAAACGCCACCTCCGCCGCATGGCCCAGGACATGGAGGGATTGCAGAGGGCCGAGCAGAGTCTGCAGGAGATGCACAAGGAGTTGGAGCGGGCCAGAATGGAGCAGGAGAGTGTGACAACGGAGAAACTGGATTTGGAGCGTCGCTTGAAGGAGGCACCATCGCTCAGCCCCTCGAGCTCGGACTTGGAAGTGCAGCTGCTGAAAAAAGAAATCGAGACGCTGCGCAATGAGTTGTCCCGGGCCGAATTCGAGCTGGCTGACAACTGCTGGGCGCCACCGCCCCAATTACAGTCGTGGCTGCAGTACACGTACGAGCTGGAGAACAAGAACCATCAAAAGAAACGTGCATCCGCCGAGAAGCAGCTACAGTCGGCTCGGGAGGCGTGCGAGAAGTTACGCAAGAAACGGTCGAGCTTGGTGGGTGCCTTTGTCTCTACGCACGGAAAAAGTATTGATGATGTTGATCGGTCGATTGTCGAGGCACGTAACGCCCTGGGAGAGGTCACCAATGAACTGCAGGAGCGACTTCACCGTTGGAAACAGATTGAAACATGCCTCGGCTTGAATATTGTGAACAACAACGGATTGCCGTTTTTGGAGAATGTTCTGTACAGCCGTAATGGGGGCTTACAAAGTTCCATGGGATCAAATTCAGCTAAAGGATCGAGAACACGTATTTCCAATCTCTCTGATGACCTGGACGATGAGTCCGTACAGGGTAAGCTGAGCTTTGAGAACTTTTCTCTGCTTGCCACCGAATAGGCCGAGTCTCACAGCTATTACATCGTAATTCTTCACGAAAATCCTACTTCTACAACTACAATTGACCTTTATTCGTCGTTAAATCCCCAATAAGAGAGCTCTTCCTAATATTAAGATTATGTTTTAATGAAGGTCATATAAAATGTATCAAATTGTAACCTACATATATATATATATTTGTAATATATCCTTGTCAATTTTGATGTAAAAATGTCAACTGTTCAAATATTTGTCAAACAAAATGAACGAGGAAGAACTATGTATGCAGTGTTTTGAACATCTCGCATACACATACAAATGTACTTATCACTTAAAAATCGGATATAACATATATACATTTATGGCAGACATTGTCAAGCCCCCAAAATATGGTTTCGGTAATTGCTGTTCTATTAAAAAACAAATCATGCTCCTCAGTTTCAAGTCAATAAATTTGTTATCTCCAAAAAAATTCTTATTTTTAAAATCGTATCTTCCAATTGTAAAAGCAATATAGGTAAATCGTTTAAAAGTGCCTTATTTTGTAGAGAAATTTTTAAATTTTGTATTCAACAAGTGGTTCACACGAGTTAACTGTTTTAGTACATATACAATAATGGATAAATATTGATACTGATAATAAAATATACACTAATCCCTATCGGACAAAAAATGTGTCAATTTAATGGGGGGATCTTGCTAACTGGGAGGCGATCCTCACCTTGGATGATGGCCCAAATGAGGGAGTCGTTTAATGACAGAACATTTAGGTCATCCGAGAGGATGATGGTCCCCCTTAATTTTTCTGATGGACCCCCTTCAAAAATAGCCAAAATCCAGATATGTGAAAAAGTGGACCTTGCGAAGGGTGTATCTTGGCCAATATCCATCCGATTCTTGAGCAGAAGACCTTTAAAGATTTGCTAGACGATTCTCTTTAAATCTGCATCAAAACCCTGAATCGAAATTTCGGGTCCCATTTTTCCAAATTTTTCTGATGGACCCCCTTCAAAAATGGGCAAAATCCAGATATGTGAAAAAGTGGACCTTGCGAAGGGTGTATCTTGGCCAATATCCATCCAATTCTTGAGTGGAATACCTTTATCGATTTGTAGGACAATTCTCTTTAAGTCTGCATCAAAACCCTGAATCGAAATTTCGGATCCCATTTTTCCAAATTTTTCTGATGAACCCCCCTTCAAAAATAGCCAAAATCCAGATATGTGAAAAAGTGGACCTTGCGAAGGGTGTATCTTGGCCAATATCCATCCAATTCTTGAGTGGAATACCTTTATCGATTTGTAGGACAATTCTCTTTAAGTCTGCATCAAAACCCTGAATCGAAATTTCGGATCCCATTTTTCCAAATTTTTCTGATGAACCCCCCTTCAAAAATGGGCAAAATCCAGATATGTGAAAAAGTGGACCTTGCGAAGGGTGTATCTTGGCCAATATCCATCCAATTCTTGAGTGGAATACCTTTATCGATTTGTAGGACAATTCTCTTTAAGTCTGCATCAAAACCCTGAATCGAAATTTCGGATCCCATTTTTCCACATTTTTCTGATGGACCCCCTTCAAAAATAGCCAAAATCCAGATATGTGAAAAAGTGCACCTTGCGAAGGGTGTATCTTGGCCAATATCCATCCGATTCTTGAGCGGAATACCTTTATCGATTTGTAGGACAATTCTCTTTAAGTCTGCATCAAAACCCTGAATCGAAATTTCTGATCCCTATTTTTCGAAATTTTTCTGATGGACTTCAATTTTTCCCTTCAAAAATAGCCAAAATCCAGATATGTGAAAAAGTGGACCTTGCGAAGGGTGTATCTTGGCCAATATCCATCCGATTCTTGAGCAGAAGACCTTTAAAGATTTGCTAGACGATTCTCTTTAAATCTGCATCAAAACCCTGAATCGAAATTTCGGGTCCCATTTTTCCAAATTTTTCTGAGGGACCCCCTTCAAAAATGGGCAAAATCCAGATATGTGAAAAAGTGGACCTTGCGAAGGGTGTATCTTGGCCAATATCCATCCAATTCTTGAGTGGAATACCTTTATCGATTTGTAGGACAATTCTCTTTAAGTCTGCATCAAAACCCTGAATCGAAATTTCGGATCCCATTTTTCCAAATTTTTCTGATGAACCCCCCTTCAAAAATAGCCAAAATCCAGATATGTGAAAAAGTGGACCTTGCGAAGGGTGTATCTTGGCCAATATCCATCCAATTCTTGAGTGGAATACCTTTATCGATTTGTAGGACAATTCTCTTTAAGTCTGCATCAAAACCCTGAATCGAAATTTCGGATCCCATTTTTCCAAATTTTTCTGATGAACCCCCCTTCAAAAATGGGCAAAATCCAGATATGTGAAAAAGTGGACCTTGCGAAGGGTGTATCTTGGCCAATATCCATCCAATTCTTGAGTGGAATACCTTTATCGATTTGTAGGACAATTCTCTTTAAGTCTGCATCAAAACCCTGAATCGAAATTTCGGATCCCATTTTTCCACATTTTTCTGATGGACCCCCTTCAAAAATAGCCAAAATCCAGATATGTGAAAAAGTGCACCTTGCGAAGGGTGTATCTTGGCCAATATCCATCCGATTCTTGAGCGGAATACCTTTATCGATTTGTAGGACAATTCTCTTTAAGTCTGCATCAAAACCCTGAATCGAAATTTCTGATCCCTATTTTTCGAAATTTTTCTGATGGACTTCAATTTTTCCCTTCAAAAATAGCCAAAATCCAGATATGTGAAAAAGTGGACCTTGCGAAGGGTGTATCTTGGCCAATATCCATCCGATTCTTGAGCAGAAGACCTTTAAAGATTTGCTAGACGATTCTCTTTAAATCTGCATCAAAACCCTGAATCGAAATTTCGGGTCCCATTTTTCCAAATTTTTCTGATGGACCCCCTTCAAAAATGGGCAAAATCCAGATATGTGAAAAAGTGGACCTTGCGAAGGGTGTATCTTGGCCAATATCCATCCAATTCTTGAGTGGAATACCTTTATCGATTTGTAGGACAATTCTCTTTAAGTCTGCATCAAAACCCTGAATCGAAATTTCGGATCCCATTTTTCCAAATTTTTCTGATGAACCCCCCTTCAAAAATGGGCAAAATCCAGATATGTGAAAAAGTGGACCTTGCGAAGGGTGTATCTTGGCCAATATCCATCCAATTCTTGAGTGGAATACCTTTATCGATTTGTAGGACAATTCTCTTTAAGTCTGCATCAAAACCCTGAATCGAAATTTCGGATCCCATTTTTCCACATTTTTCTGATGGACCCCCTTCAAAAATAGCCAAAATCCAGATATGTGAAAAAGTGCACCTTGCGAAGGGTGTATCTTGGCCAATATCCATCCGATTCTTGAGCGGAATACCTTTATCGATTTGTAGGACAATTCTCTTTAAGTCTGCATCAAAACCCTGAATCGAAATTTCTGATCCCTATTTTTCGAAATTTTTCTGATGGACTTCAATTTTTCCCTTCAAAAATAGCCAAAATCCAGATATGTGAAAAAGTGGACCTTGCGAAGGGTGTATCTTGGCCAATATCCATCCGATTCTTGAGCAGAAGACCTTTAAAGATTTGCTAGACGATTCTCTTTAAGTCTGCATCAAAACCCTGAATCGAAATTTCGGATCCCATTTTTCCAAATTTTTCTGATGAACCCCCCTTCAAAAATAGCCAAAATCCAGATATGTGAAAAAGTGGACCTTGCGAAGGGTGTATCTTGGCCAATATCCATCCAATTCTTGAGCGGAATACCTTTATCGATTTGTAGGACAATTCTCTTTAAGTCTGCATCAAAACCCTGAATCGAAATTTCGGATCCCATTTTTCCAAATTTTTCTGATGGACCCCCTTCAAAAATGGGCAAAATCCAGATATGTGAAAAAGTGGACCTTGCGAAGGGTGTATCTTGGCCAATATCCATCCAATTCTTGAGTGGAATACCTTTATCGATTTGTAGGACAATTCTCTTTAAGTCTGCATCAAAACCCTGAATCGAAATTTCTGATCCCTATTTTTCGAAATTTTTCTGATGGACTTCAATTTTTCCCTTCAAAAATAGCCAAAATCCAGATATGTGAAAAAGTGGACCTTGCGAAGGGTGTATCTTGGCCAATATCCATCCGATTCTTGAGCAGAAGACCTTTAAAGATTTGCTAGACGATTCTCTTTAAATCTGCATCAAAACCCTGAATCGAAATTTCGGGTCCCATTTTTCCAAATTTTTCTGATGGACCCCCTTCAAAAATGGGCAAAATCCAGATATGTGAAAAAGTGGACCTTGCGAAGGGTGTATCTTGGCCAATATCCATCCAATTCTTGAGTGGAATACCTTTATCGATTTGTAGGACAATTCTCTTTAAGTCTGCATCAAAACCCTGAATCGAAATTTCGGATCCCATTTTTCCAAATTTTTCTGATGAACCCCCCTTCAAAAATGGGCAAAATCCAGATATGTGAAAAAGTGGACCTTGCGAAGGGTGTATCTTGGCCAATATCCATCCAATTCTTGAGTGGAATACCTTTATCGATTTGTAGGACAATTCTCTTTAAGTCTGCATCAAAACCCTGAATCGAAATTTCGGATCCCATTTTTCCACATTTTTCTGATGGACCCCCTTCAAAAATAGCCAAAATCCAGATATGTGAAAAAGTGCACCTTGCGAAGGGTGTATCTTGGCCAATATCCATCCGATTCTTGAGCGGAATACCTTTATCGATTTGTAGGACAATTCTCTTTAAGTCTGCATCAAAACCCTGAATCGAAATTTCTGATCCCTATTTTTCGAAATTTTTCTGATGGACTTCAATTTTTCCCTTCAAAAATAGCCAAAATCCAGATATGTGAAAAAGTGGACCTTGCGAAGGGTGTATCTTGGCCAATATCCATCCGATTCTTGAGCAGAAGACCTTTAAAGATTTGCTAGACGATTCTCTTTAAGTCTGCATCAAAACCCTGAATCGAAATTTCGGATCCCATTTTTCCAAATTTTTCTGATGAACCCCCCTTCAAAAATAGCCAAAATCCAGATATGTGAAAAAGTGGACCTTGCGAAGGGTGTATCTTGGCCAATATCCATCCAATTCTTGAGCGGAATACCTTTATCGATTTGTAGGACAATTCTCTTTAAGTCTGCATCAAAACCCTGAATCGAAATTTCGGATCCCATTTTTCCAAATTTTTCTGATGGACCCCCTTCAAAAATGGGCAAAATCCAGATATGTGAAAAAGTGGACCTTGCGAAGGGTGTATCTTGGCCAATATCCATCCAATTCTTGAGTGGAATACCTTTATCGATTTGTAGGACAATTCTCTTTAAGTCTGCATCAAAACCCTGAATCGAAATTTCGGATCCCATTTTTCCACATTTTTCTGATGGACCCCCTTCAAAAATAGCCAAAATCCAGATATGTGAAAAAGTGGACCTTGCGAAGGGTGTATCTTGGCCAATATCCATCCGATTCTTGAGCGGAATACCTTTATCGATTTGTAGGACAATTCTCTTTAAGTCTGCATCAAAACCCTGAATCGAAATTTCGGATCCCATTTTTCCAAATTTTTCTGAAAATAAAAAAAAAATGGGCAAAATCCAGATATGTGAAAAAGTGGACCTTGCGAAGGGTGTATCTTGGCCAATATCCATCCAATTCTTGAGTGGAATACCTTTATCGATTTGTAGGACAATTCTCTTTAAGTCTGCATCAAAACCCTGAATCGAAATTTCGGATCCCATTTTTCCACATTTTTCTGACCCCCTTCAAAAATGGCCAAAATCCAGATATGTGAAAAAGTGCACCTTGCGAAGGGTGTATCTTGGCCAATATCCATCCGATTCTTGAGCGGAATACCTTTATCGATTTGTAGGACAATTCTCTTTAAGTCTGCATCAAAACCCTGAATCGAAATTTCGGATCCCATTTTTCGAAATTTTTCTGATGGACCCCCTTCAAAAATGGCCAAAATCCAGATATGTGAAAAAGTGCACCTTGCGAAGGGTGTATCTTGGCCAATATCCGTCCCATTCTTGAGCGGAATACCTTAAACGATTTGTAGGACGATTCTCTTTAAATCTGCATCAAAATTTCGGATCCCATTTTTCCAAATTTTTCTGATGGACCCCCTTCAAAAATAGCCAAAATCCAGATATGTGAAAAAGTGGACCTTGCGAACGGTATATCTTGGCCAATATCCATCTGATTCTTGAGCGGAATACATTAAACGATTTGTAGGACGATTCTCTTTAAATCTGCATCAAAACCCTGAATCGAAATTTCGGATCCCATTTTTCCAAATTTTTCTGAAAATGGGCAAAATCCAGATATGTGAAAAAGTGGACCTTGCGATGGGTATATATTGGCCAATATCCGTCCGATTTTTGAGCGGAATACCTTTATCGATTTGTAGGACGATTCTCTTTAAATCTGCATCAAAACCTCAAAATCGAATTGTCGATCTCCAAAACGCTACAGCATTAACACCCGACACCTAAATCGCCGCAACATTTTCTCTTCTTTTTTTCAGACTCGGATTGGGCGCCGAAAGCCTGGTCCCATTTTTTCTTTTCGGCGTTGCCAGACATATATTCGATTAATTTATTCGATTTTTCGGGCTGTCGAATTTAAAAGTTTTACAAAATTGCATGAGATGTACACACTGTTCAACAAATTTCATTAAATTTGATCCACCAGTTTTTTTAAGCTACAAAAATCTGAGAATCGCATTCATGTGTCTAAAAATTAGATAGACAGTGCATCAGAAAACAGAAAAGGCGCTGGGAATCGAAATACGCCGAGGAGCACGGCCCTAGAACGTATGTGAAAAGTTTTGAGTGAATCGCTTGCATGTGTGAGTGTGGGGGCTCCACGCAAAAAATTGTACACGCGTGAAAAAGTTAAATAATTAAAACATCCGCCACATTCGGGGCCCTGTAACAACTGCAATTTAACTATTGGAAATGTTGAAAACATGCAGATGCTGATATAAACGCTCTGCTCGTGACATTTGCGTCGGTGGATGTATGTGCGTCTCCGTGTGTGTGTGTGTGTGTTGGTGTCTGTACAACAAGGTCCGCATTTTTCTTTTGTTGTTTGCCCCACGAATTATCCATCCTCCTGCTCCAATGCAGGTGCAGAAAAGTGGGGTTAGGGCTTAGAACACAAGGAAATGCACAATTTACGCCGAGGAAAATCTATTTTTGAGGCAAACATAACCATAGTTCTGCTCATTATTCAGTTAACGTGCGTGCATGCGGTTATGTGTATTTGTAATGGTTATGACGACTCCACCCGAGCCACCTAAGAACGGCTATAAGGCTAGTTTCTCGTCTATAATGATATCCGGTGCAAAGACCGTCACTGTCCCCTCCATATCCTATAGCTATAGCTCTAAAAAAATGTTTTTCTAGAAGAATGCAGTTACTGGAATTCCCATGTCCTTTAGGAGCGAGTATAACAGTTTTATTCTCGAGCGCACATCCTTGAGCGCACAGGTAAACGCAGTGAAAACGGTGTGAAAGCGGAGACTTGGATGACGACCCTAAAAAAAAAACGTTCTTTTTGTCGGGAGGTCAACAGCCAATGGTCACAGAGGGATGTGTACGCCAAGGGGGAGGGGAGATGCGGTGCGGCTCGGGTCGGGTCGGTTCTCGGTTCAGTAAAAGTAAAGAAAGAGGAAAAATGGACGAAGAATGCCTGCACATCTGATCTCTTAGCGGAGTGATGCAACAGCAGGAGCACTGAAAATTCCTTTGTGATCTCGCCCCTTTTGTTCGGTGATTTTCTTCTTCCACCGAATCTCTGCAGGCCTGCAGGCGGCGATCCCTTTTCCATATACGAGTTTCTATGTGAGAGTGGTTTGTTCGTAGGACGCTGATGCTGTGACAGACAAGACACGGACAGTCGGGGTAGTTGGAGCTGCTGTCAGGCGGTTAGAGATGCGCAGCTGTGATCACCAAGTCACATAATAGGGAATACCTTGATTTTAGATTCGATCTAAGGTTGTCGTGAGCCACGATCGTGATCACCCTTTCAAGGATATTGCAAAATATTCCTTTAATATTATCACCTTTTTTCCAAACTGTTACTTCCTGGCCGTGACTTTTTCACGTGCCGATCATCACTAGAATTTAGCCAAAAGCAGAGGGAAAAGATAGCGGCTGGAATTGCAAGGTGTACGTGATGTTGTTGTTGTTGTTGTTGTTGTGGTGCGGCTGCTGTGTATCTTTGGTGCTTCTTCTTCTTACGTCCGTTACTTCTCGCTCTTGTCATCTCTCCCTACCCTACCCTACCCTACCTTACCTTACCTTACCTCTCACCTTAGATCTCACAATACCTTTCGGCTGGCTGCCTTACCTTCTGTGGCTCTCTTACCCTCTCTCGCCCGGGCCCGGGCCCGGTCCGAGCCTCGAGAGTGTCGTGTTTTTGTTGTAATACCCGTTTCGTCTTCTTTTTCCCATTCTACTTCGCGCCGTTTTAGCCTCTTCCGCCGATCCGATGCACTTTTGTGATTTCCTTTTTCGAGTTTCAACGTCGTCGGCGGCTGCTTACAAAAATATTTCCCACTGATTTTCATTGCATTGCCGTTTTTTTTTTTTTTTTTCTTCTTTTGTTGTTGTTTTTGCAAGCCAACAGTTTTTTGCTTGTTGCGTGGGAATTTCGGTTCATCTTCAGTTCTCTCTCTAATCACAAAGGATCGGTGTAGAATTGTAACTCCCTGAGATTTCAAATCTAGTCTTCTCTGAAACCAGTCGATCCTACGGTACTGCCATAGACGTAACATTTAGAGACAAATATTTAAAGATATAATATCCTGCCAAAAAAACCTTATTTAAAAAAATTAAATAAATAATTTTTCAGGAGAGCGTGTTGCCCAGTTTCGGATGAACGAAGAGTATTATGGAAAGAGGATGTCCAGCTGCTAGCAGTGATTCCGATAGCGCCTCCATCTCCAGCTCCACCTCGGCCAGCAACCAGGCCTCCACCAGCCGGAGAGCAGGAGCAGCAGCAGCAGCAGCAGTAGAAGCAGCGGACGAGCCCGGCCGTGAAGATTTCGCATCCATGTCTAGACTGCAGGATGATGTCGATGAGGACGTATGTGTGTCGTCGAACTCACAGCATGCATTCGCTGTAGTGCTCGACGACGAGTCCAGCACTTTTGAGATTAGCTCTTCCAACTCACTGCCCACCAGTGCGGGGGCTGCGTCCAGCGTCGGTGTAGTTGCCGTCGACGACAGCTCGTCCACGGACACCATCAATGGTGGCGGAGGCCCTGATCATCCCTCCTCCAACGAACAATGTCAAGGTTTCTTTAACGAGGAGCCTCCGGTCGTATGCCTTATAAACGATGAGGATGATGATGATGAGGACGATGCGGAGCCGGAGGAGCAGGAGGAGGAAGACGACGAGAATTTGAACGAGGAGGACGACGAAGACGTGGTGGACATTGTAGTGGCTGCTATAGACTGTCCCAACACATCACAAGTACCCCTAGCCGATGGCACCATTGTGGCGGCCGATGGTTCCAAGATCTTCCTCGAAACGCCTGTCGTGGAGGAGGCCCAGCCGCATCCTCATCCCGACCCAGCTGTCTCTCAGTCTGAGCTGACCGGAAAACCGAAGCGCCTGAGCGATGAGTTTCTGCTCGGAGAGGATGCAGAGCAGGCGGACAGTCAGCAGCAGGGACAATCCAGAGGGAAATCAAAACCGGAGAACCCCGACACCACCTGCCTGCATGACCGGCTGATGTCAGTGCGGCTGAAGCAGATGAGCCTCACGGCAAGCACTTCTTCGAATCCTGCGCCAGCGGTCTTCGCCGTTGGCGACATCGAGTCAATAGACCTCATCGAGCGCCGTGATTTCGAAACCGAGCAGCGTCTCACTGGCGGCATTATCCTGCGCAACAGCTCCAAACTGAATCTAAGTCTGATCAAATCTATGGCCGGGGGACGAGCAACTGGGGCAGCTGGGGGAGCGGCTTCGACTGCGGCGAGCAAAGACGATTGGCCCAGCAGCAGTAATGGCCGGACCGTTTCCTCCGATAGTAAAGTGAGTAGTCCTCTGCCTTAAAATACTTTCCTTTTTATTAATATGCTCCCCCCTTCAGTGCACATATAAGGATTTGTCGACGACTCCAACCAGCAGCCGCAAGTATACCAACAGCCGGCTGAGCAAGTCCACTGCCAAACTAAACCTGGGCTCCTCGCTTGGAAGAGAACCCTCGAGCTGCAGCCAGCATCGGTCCAGCTTCAGTTTAAACGCCAGTTCCAGTTCAACGTCAAAGTCAAGTCAGGAGTCATCGGCCACCTCCACGGGAGCAGCCCGCACGGACGTGTATACCAACACCAACTCGAATGATTACCTGGGCGTGGCCCCGGGCACTTCCTCTTCCACGTCCGCCTGCCAGCAGGAGGAGGGAACTGCAGAGAGTGCAAGCGGCTCTGTGTCTTATAGTTCGGTGGCATCGCAGACCTCTCAGGAAGGCGGCTGTAGTCGCACCTCAGTCCATAACCAAGGATCGGCCTGTCTGGGCGATTCTGAGGCATCCACTTCATCCGGCGCTGGAGCATCGAGCTCCTGCAATCGCTCCTCCACGCGCCAAGTGAACGCCAGTGCCCAGACGCAGGAGCGTTTCCTGGCACGCAGCAGTTCAGGGGCAGCTTCATCCTCGAATGGAACATCCCAGCCGAGGCGTCGCAATGAGTCCAGCGACGCCATCCACCTGGAGGTTCTGGTCGAAGAGGGAGCTAACAACGGCGGAGATAATAACCACGTGGAGCCGGGCGATTTCAGTGGCGAAGAGCCATGGGCCAACTGCGACGAAGAGAACAACTGCTCAGATCTGGAAGAGATCTGCACATGTCAGAACGGAAACGAAATGAGCTATGGCGGCAGCAATGCCAGCTTGAGCGAAGCCTATGACCTGGACAACATGGACCACGAGGACCACAACCTTTCCCTGTCCTTTTCCGCTACCTCTTCGAATCCCGTCGGCCTCGGCGACTGCTCGCTGAACAACCCCGTCGCACTAATCTCCCAGCAGCGCAAACGGAAGTACAACGAGGGGCGCCTCTTGGACGGCGGCGACTACTCCCTTAACATTTCGCCCAGTGGCGGAGTGGGCTTGAATGCCGGGGTGGGCGACAACTGCCGCAAGCGGATCGCCTACGACTTCGCCTCTACGCCACGATCTTCGCAGCATTCAGGGCCCACGGCGGTGGCCTCTCACTTGATCAATGCCTCGCCAGGATCAGTGTCGGGATTGGGTCGGCGCACCCCAAGATCCGTCCCCACACGGGACAATCCGCCACCCGAGCTGCCACACTGGTTGGCCCAGTTCCAGCGCTGGTCACATGCTGAACGTCTGCTGGCGGTTGACCGCCTGATCGACCACTGCGATCCGTCGCAGGTGCGCCACATGATGAAGGTGATTGAGCCGCAGTTCCAGCGCGATTTTATCTCGCTGCTGCCACGGGAACTGGCCCTGTTTGTGTTGTCCTACCTGGAGCCAAAGGATCTGCTGCGAGCTGCCCAGACCTGCCGCAGTTGGCGCTTCCTTTGCGACGACAACTTGCTGTGGAAGGAGAAGTGCCGCATTGCCCAGATCCTGGCCGAGCCGAGAAGTGATCGCCCGAAAAGGGGACGCGACGGCAACATGCCACCCATTGCCTCGCCATGGAAAGCCGCCTATATGCGTCAGCACATCATTGAAGTGAACTGGCGGCAGCGACCAGTCCGCAAGCCGAAAGTTCTGAAGGGCCACGACGACCACGTGATCACTTGTTTGCAGTTCTCCGGTAATCGCATTGTTTCCGGCTCCGACGATAACACTCTCAAGGTCTGGTCGGCGGTAAACGGAAAGGTGAGTTGTAACTGGATTGCATTTTTTATCAAATCCTGACCTTGTTCTTGTTCTTGTAGTGTCTGCGCACATTGGTGGGTCATACGGGCGGAGTTTGGTCTTCCCAAATGTCGGGCAACATCATCATTTCGGGCAGCACGGATCGCACCCTCAAGGTCTGGGACATGGACAGCGGCGCATGTGTCCACACACTCCAGGGCCACACTTCCACAGTGCGCTGCATGCACCTGCATGGCAATAAGTAAGTAGATCCTGGCCAGATCTCAGTCCAAACAATGCTAACTTTACGGGTTTTCATTACCAGGGTGGTCAGCGGTTCTCGAGACGCCACTTTGCGTGTTTGGGACATCGAGCAGGGTTCTTGCCTGCACGTGCTGGTTGGTCATCTAGCTGCCGTCCGTTGCGTTCAGTACGATGGAAAGCTGATTGTGTCGGGAGCCTACGATTACATGGTGAAGATCTGGCATCCAGAGCGCCAGGAGTGCTTGCACACCCTGCAGGGCCACACGAACCGCGTTTACTCGTTGCAGGTAGGATTCCCAAACATGGAGGTTGAAACCCTTTGCTGATTATCCTCCCATTCGTTTCAGTTCGATGGCCTTCATGTGGTATCAGGCTCCCTGGACACCTCCATTCGGGTGTGGGACGTTGAGACTGGTAATTGTAAGCACACTCTGATGGGCCACCAAAGCTTGACCTCGGGCATGGAGCTACGGCAGAATATTCTCGTCTCAGGAAACGCAGATTCAACTGTTAAGGTGTGGGATATCACAACCGGCCAATGTCTGCAAACGCTGTCGGGTAAGTGGCGAGAGGATTACTTGCTTTTCCAGCAGGAATGCTTACTAATTCCATTGTCTGGTTCAGGTACCAACAAGCATCAGTCTGCGGTTACCTGTCTGCAGTTCAATTCGCGATTTGTGGTGACCAGCTCGGATGATGGCACCGTGAAATTGTGGGACGTGAAGACGGGCGAATTTATTCGCAATCTAGTGGCCCTCGATTCGGGTGGCTCCGGTGGGGTTGTGTGGCGAATAAGGTGAGTCTCTGCTACTTTTCAAGAAGAATCGGGGTTACTGATTGCCGATCTTTGCAGGGCAAACGATACCAAACTGATTTGTGCAGTGGGATCGCGAAACGGAACTGAGGAGACAAAGCTGATGGTCCTGGACTTTGATGTGGAGGGGGCTTGTGTCAAATGTTCATAGGAGAAAGCACCGGGTATTCGCTTGTGCATTTGGCTCTGGGCCAAGGACGAGGGTCAAGGACGAGGCAGTTAGCGAACAGCTTCGAGCGAGATTTCATCGCAAACTCATCTAAGCACACAAACAATCACAATCACTGAAACAGAAACAGACAGATAGATTCAGCGGATGTGGGGAATCCGCCACATAACGTAATGATGATTGCCTTGCCAACAAAATGCAGCTGCTCACATACACCACACACACACACACACAACACACGTAAACACACACGAAGAATTATCATTAGGAGGAGGATGAGGTGGGGAGAATAGAGGGTCGGGTAGTTGGGGTGTGGCTGTGGCTGTGAGTGTCAATTGTTAATATCTTTAATTTACTTTAAAGTTGCTTCATAGCCAAAATTCGTTTTCCACCGTAGAATAATTAATTTCTTCTTATTAGTTCTTTGTAGTTCTTCGATCATGGCGAGTCGATTGAACTAATAATATTAATATTAAGAATATAATACTAATTATACATACTATTCAGATTATACAGTTGCAGATGCAAATACCTTGCAGAGCTGAGAACATTTATGAAAACAGAGCTTTATATTGATTAAATTGTAATTTGTTTAAATGGAATTCGAAGCGCATTGAGATTTGAACGATGGTTGAGAGTTAAGTTGCCGTTTATTATGTTTAAATTTTTGTGGTTTCGTTTTGTCCACTTGTTTTGTTTAAATGTCCATTATGATGCGATATCTACAATCTATATTAATGTTCTGATTGTTTAATAACATTTGATTTTGAACTCGCGTATTAGCGAGATGCGATATTGGCTTCCAATTCCTATTCCAAATTCGAAATTCCTCATTTGCCAGGAACCTGCCACAATTGCCGTACGAGCGTAGCATTAAGAAGAGTCATCTGCAGTACTCACTGAGCACCAGCTCACCCCCCCAAAACACACAACAAATGAACACTGCAACACTATATACACACAACACACACACGTGACATCATTAAGCGAACATATATTTTAATTATAGACTGATTTATTAGTAATTGAAATTAATCTACAAAAATATGTATGTGTAATGGTACCGTATGTATTTCAATAAAATTTATCGGTTTAAGCCTAAATCTGAATAAACGCAGGAATAATAATAATAAACATAGTTGAAACCAGCATGGATTTTGCTTTTAAAGTTTATTCATTTAATTCACTTACAGTAACTGACTATAATTGATTATAAACTATGTAGTCATATTTAATTTCATAATTTGTGAGCATTTGCCTTTTATTTGATTTATTAATTTCATTATTGGACTGCTTGGAGATTCCTCCGAAAAACAACAAAATGTATAGAAAGCTTCCATATTTTCTACTTTGATTCTCTACGATGATAGCCTCCGGTTATAATCGATTCCAGAGTCGTAGAAAACTTTCAGCTGCGAGGTTATGAGTTCACGGATTGGGGTTATTTTTATACAGGTATATATGGATATGCTTTAATAAAAAAAATCACTTCATTGCGATTCAACACCGACACCATAACGGGTGAGTAATAAACTTAAATTTAAACTAAGATAACTAAATAACTATGTGGGGTATTTAACTTGAAGAATTAATGTTGCAAGGTGTGCGCTTTAGATCTTCGACTTCTTGCTGCTGTGCCCCTCGATGCCCAGATTGCAACGAGATGCTATGTCCTGGTTTGAGGTGACTGTGCTGGGCACTGCACCGCCGCCGCCCAGAGCGGATATGGTGCCATTGCTCGGTCGCTTTCGAGTGGGCGAATGTACGGGTGACTTTTGCTTGAGGCATTCCACATCATTGAACACGACCTGGGCGCCACCGCCACACGTGGGTATCACGTTACCCTTGTACAGTTTGGTCTCCACATCGCCGTCTGTGTCCGCCTCCTGGGACACCAGGCAGTACTTGTTGGCTCCGTGGTTGGTCAGCTCCTTCATGTCGGTTAGCTTGGTCACGGACTTGCGGTTTTTCAGATATGGCTGCATTATGGTACCAAGAGGGACAGGATTGGCGGCCCTATGTTCCAGCCATTTGTCGCCGGCCGATCGCGAGCGTCGATGACGATTGTTGGCTGCAGCCACGCCCTGATGGGAGGAACAGTATGATTTGAAAAATTCGTTCAAATTGCTAGAAAAAGAAACTTACATGTCGCGGCGTGGCATAGATATCTGTTCTTGTAGCCGGCACCGATGATTCTGTGCGAGCTGTGAAGGTTCCACGATCCTTTTCGTTGAGAATATCCTCTGAGCTCTGAGAGCGAGGCAGACTGGGCAGATCCTCTGACTGCAGAATGTTCGAAACCAGGCGTAGTTTCTCGTCTTTGATGCGCATGCGTTCCTGCAATTTGGCTCGCTGCTCCCGAAGCTTCAGCTCCAGCTCCCGCTTGTTCTTGTCCGACTCGACAGCCAGCTTGGAGCTAAACTTTTTCTTTTGCTTCTCCTTCTCGTGCTCCTTTTGGGTGAGAAGGTTCTTCTGTTCGTCTAGCTTGAAGGTGAGCTCCTCAATCTGTCTGTCGCGCTTGCTCAGCGTGTTGTTCAGCACGTCTATGGAGCTCTCGTGGATGCGCACCTTTTTTTCCAATGCGGCACTACGTTCGCGTTCTTGCTTGTAGACCGCTTTCAAGGAGGCTAGCTCCGTTCGCAGTTGCAGGTTGTCCCTGTCCAGGTTCATCAGCATTTGCCTGAAGCTGTCACCTGCATTTGTAAGGATATTTCTCATTGAATTACTTAAAACAAACCCTAATAGGTGTCTTCAACTCACACTTTATATCCAAATTGCTGCGCAACTTTTTGCGTTTCTCGATGCGCTGCTCCAAATAGTGCATCAACTCCTTGATCTTAAACTCTGCCTCAGGACTGTCCATCTGATAGGAGGGAAAGTCAGGGCCTAAGCTGTAGACCAGGCCTACATCCACCTCGAGATCCTTGGCCTCGGGAATTCCCAGCTCGTTCAAATTGTTGACAGCAATCTTGAACAGCTTATTGGCCTTACGTCTGCCCGGTGTGAGACCCAAATCCGGTTTTATGGGCGTGGCCCTAGCTATTTGAACCTCCTGAGTCATCTCGGCAAACTTCATCACTTGCTGCAATTAGGAGTCAAACGTTAAAGGGAGATCTTTACAAAAGGGAGTCAGTCCCTTACCATGTTCTCATCATAGTCCTCGATTCTTGGATTGATGCACACAATCATGGACACCTGACCCTCGCCATCAAAGTAGTTCTTAAACATGTGCGTGATCTTGGAGTCACGATAGGGGATCTTCTTGGGCGCCATGCCGCTGGCTGCTGCCTGTTGGTTCTCCCGCAAATACTCCAAGCACGTTCGCAGCGTCATTAGCGAGTTGTTGATGTTGCCCGCCTCTCGAAGCCTCACCCCAGTGTTCTTGGTTCGCGAAGAGCGTTCGCTACCAGCTAGATCTACAAGCGACAACTGGCTGACGGTGATGTTCTGCTTATCCTGGACCACGTTTTCGCCCTGGCTGTCGGTGGGTGCCTGCACCAGTCGAATATTGAATACCGAGTGACTTCGACTGGATTCGGCGTTCAGAACGGTGTGGCCCATGCGCTTGCGCTTCTGACCCATTTGGAAGACCTCAAGGGCCTCCTCCACAGTTTTTACCTCCACTTCTGTTACCCCATGTACGAACATATGTCGATTGGCATCCTCGCGAATGATTTTGCTCTGCAAAGTCCTGGAATATTTCATTGAAATTAGTAACTTATTAACTTTCTAAAATCGAAGATTTAACTCACTTCTGTATGCCCGAATCTTCCAGCAGATCGTACACGCTATTGTTATAAATCTCTATGTAGGTGACGAACACCGAGTACATGTTATCCTCGTCCAAGCCCAGCAACGGTGTGGGCTCTACGGATGCCTGTGAGGCGATTTCAGGATCCGAGTCCTTGTGTCGGAACGCAAAGCGCCCGGCTCCTGCAAAACGCTGGTTCATTTCGTGCTGCCTCTCCAGGAGAGCATCTTCCTCAGAGAGAATCTCGAAACCATTTAGTTTGTCTGGCTTAAACACAAACTTTTTGGCCTGAAAATCGGAAATGGTCCGGAACAGGACGTCCAGGCAGCGAGGCATGATTCCACGGTGCCGCAGGTTTCCCGTCATTGTGTAGGTCTTGCCACTGCCCGTCACTCCGTATGTAAACAGGAGGCTGTTTCGTCCTCGAAGGAGATTCTCCACCAGAGGCTGTGCCACCGATCCATACACATCCTGCTGTGAGGCATCCGGTTGAAAAACATGTTTAAAGATGTACTGGATCTCGCGCTGGCCGCTGTTCTGTTTGTGATGCAGTAGCTGATCCTGTGGATTGAGGGCAATCGTCGTAGAGTTCTTCACTCGCAGGCATGTGAGATCCGCTTCAGATTGCAAAGGTCGCACACGGCAGAAGACATTCACTGGATCCCTGGCCTTTTCGGAGGTCTCTCGTCGTTGCGGTTTGTCTGTATTTTGTGGGTGCACCCTTGGAGTCTTCGGGACGACGCGCATCGGCGTTCGGGGTCTATTAAATGATATTTTAGTTGCCGGAATAAACCTTTTAAGTCCTGGCATTCTACTTACACTGCTTTCATGTTTTATTTATTTCTTTTTTACTTCTTTCAGCTGGACAAGGTGTACGCAGTTTATTTTTGGTAAATAATGTCTTTTTCTAAGTTCGTTATCTTCAAATTTCCACCGCCAAGCGACGCCACGCTGCGGTTTTAGTGTGACCAGAAAATTTATATCTGATATATTTTACAGCACTCTTTTTATGGCTTTGCAACACTAAATTAGTATTTTACATGAAAATATACCAAACATTCATTTCATCATCATCGTATGGTCCCACTGAAAATTCAAATGGTAAATTTTTAAAAATCCGCAATCTTTATTGTTCAATTTTAATCAATTTTTTAAATAAGCCTTTTTTATTTTAGTCTTTAAAAATTTAGTTTTAAATGCAAAAAAAATATAAAGTTTATTTTAGCAGATATATTTGTTAAGATTTCACAGTGAATTTAGTTTTTATTAAACTTGATAATAGAAAACAGTTTCCGTAGCAAAGCCGGACCATTCCAGTAGCCCTTCAACATCACTTCCCAGTATAGGAGAGGCATGAATTCCTTCTTCATAAAGAACATTGTGTATCTTTCCTTGGCCTGGTCCAGTGGAAATGTCTCCATCGGCTTCTGATTGTAGTCGAATTCTGCCAGGATGCAAGTGCTGTACCCAGTAACAATGGGGCAGGAGGAGTAACCGTCGTAGATTTCCTTAGGGCTCTTCCCCTTTATCACCGACATCAGATTGTGAAATACAACAGGCGACTGGGCAGCTATAAAATAATATATTTATAATATAAATATTATGTACACATATTTTACAAATATTTGTATAAAACTTACCTGCTGCGGCCGCAGTTTTCGAGTTGGGTGTTGATGAGGAGTCTCCGATAGCGAAAACATTGGAGAACTTCTTGTGCTGCAACGTCGAACTGTCCACGTCAACGAATCCGCAATCATTGGTGAGTTCCTTGCATCTCATCAATTCATCCGGAGGAGTCATTGGTGGGGTAGCGTGAAGCATAGAGTACTATTGGAAACTGTATTACTTAGTCCTGTATAAGAAGTAATTCCAATAGAACTATTCACCTCTATCTCAAAAAACTTTCCTGGATTCTGGATATCTTCAAACACAGCGATATTATTCTTGGACTTCACCTCTACGAGACGACAGTTCAGATTGACCTTAATATCCCTTTGCTTGGCAACCTTCCAAAGGGCTTTCGCATAATGGGGTACTCCAAAAATGCTTGGAAGAGGCGTGTTGTAAATGACATTAACATCGTTCCTGCGGCCCATCTTAAAGGTATGAAAGCTTATGAAAATATAAAACGCTAAGAAGACAATGATTTACCTTTCGGAAATAATGATCTGATATGTAGGCAATCTTCTGAGGTGCTCCGGCACACTTAATGGGACAATCGGGAAAGCTGAACACTGCGTTTCCCTTCTTAGTGTTTTGAAGGACCTTGTATACATGTTCCACATATTTGGGAGAGTAAATGGAGCAAACATTGCCATCCGGGGTCTCCAGGGCCTCGACTAGTCCAGGGATCTGAGCGGAATACAATCGTTTAGAAATCTATTGATAAAATTTCTATAAATTCACCTTTTCATACTTCAATTGCAATCCAGTGGCAATGAGAAGATAACCATACTTGATGGACTTACCACCAGAAGTGGAAACTGTATTCTCATTTGGACGAAACTCTATTGCCTTTTCTTTTATCCACTTGGCCTTTTTCGGAAGAACATCACCCATTTTCTTGTAGCATTGGTCCAGCCGCTTCATACCACCTCCAATCAAAGTAAGCATAGGTTGGTAATAGTGTTTCTGCAAATAAAGTATAAGGTTTAATTTTTTTTAACAAACAATCAGGTTGAGTCTTACATCTTCAGGCTCCAGGACTATCACCTTGTTGCTGCCCAGACTGTTGGATAGTTTAGCGGCCATGGCACATCCACCACTGCCTCCACCAACCACCAGGACTTGACATCTGTTTATACGAATGATTACGGTTGGTTTCAAATAATAATTTTAAAAAATGTACAAAAGCTATTTTTTTTTTAAGATTTATTTAAGTGCTTTATTAAAGAGTACTTTTTATATCCTCATTCCTAGTGATGTAGATTTCCAAGCTGCTCGATAAACTTTTGGAAGTTAGTAGAATTTAATATACAAGTTTTGGTATTAGTGAATAAGAGCTATATCCTTTATTTATATAAAAGTAAGTAAAACTTCCCAACAATCATAAAGTTTATAGCCCATAGGAACTATAAAGCTTTCCAGGAACTAGAAAGTGTCCCTGGAGTCTTATCAGACCTCACCCCTTGAAAATGGAGGCAAAGCCATGGCCAGTAGTTAGCACTACTTTGTTATCACCTTTTAATTAGAAATGTTTGGTGCCAAGCAGCCGGCCGCAAAGTCCGGGTGCCTGAAACATTCTAATTGAATTTGTTTGATAGATATAGTATGCAGCAAAATAAACACTCTCGAAGCTCTTTAATTACCGAGGAATAGAAATCGCAATATTACTTACTCTTGCCTTTCATTGTTTACACGCGTGGTAGAGAGGTATCTGGTCAAGGTGGACGATGAAGCCGCCTGGGCGTGGTGGCCTGGCTGGATCAACAGCCTCCTGAAATGGTTGATAGCCACCGGGAGTCGACAGTTCATTGTACCAGGTGGTGCGGTGGGGCGATCGCAGCTGAAAAATTGCAGAAAAGAGCGGTCTGCGAGAGCCGGCGACAATTGGATGACTGGTGGAGGTGAGAGATTTCCGCAGAAAAAGAGCTTTTGGTGGGGGCTATTAAATTGGTTACACTGAACAAAAATGGATGGCTTCTTTACGGATGTGCCTAGAATTTTAATTAAACGGGCTCTGTTTCACATTTCGACGTGGTTACTGAAAAAAAAACAAACCAAATGTGCGATAATCAGATTCAGAGTCATTTTATTACATTTAATTTTAAAATCAAATCAAACGATCATTTTGGATCGAGTGTGGAGACTTAAGAAAGCTTTCCCAACCGAGAACTTGCTATTCTCCTACGATATGGTAATTAAAAAATGGTAGGCCTCTTGGCACCTATTAAGTGTTAGTTTTGAGAAACTGTCTCTCAAGCTAAGCTGGAGCTAAAATAAACCTGTTGCTGTACACAGTAATAAAAATAGAATCCTGTTTATTTAATAAATGTGTAATAAAGATTCTCTAATAAAGATTCAAAGCCTATAGAAAACCTATCCCTAATTTATCTCTTTTGTTTATATACGTTTCAAATTTTATTAATTTATATCTTAAAATATTGAAATAATGGAAAAAGATTCCTATTTATTTTTTTTCAGGTGCATAATATATTTAACCTTGAAAGAAGCTTTCGTAAATGGCTTTTTAGTCAGCTGTTCCGTGGGGCCTAAAGCTTTTGGTACTAAAAAATAATCTTAAGCTTTAGATTACGCGTGTGCTTGGACCACTTAATCTTTGTGTACAGTAAAGACTCGGCACAACGAACCTATGTGATCATGATCTAAAATTAAATATGACTTCAAATACCAGGGGGGGGGCTTTAGCCTTGGGGTCTGATCGAAGGTTATTCGCCCCTGTCGAGCTGTTTATTTTTAATGGTATACCTATCGGGGCAATCGCATTGCAGGCCAAGCAAGAGCACTTTGTGTGGATTTCCAACAAGGCGGCCAACATTCTTGCAACAATGAAAGGAGAAACTTTTAGAACATCTCTTCTCCTTGCTAAGGAGTTTCTTTTCAGCGTTTTCACGAATATTGGAAGCCTTGGGCCTTAATTTGGGAGCCGAAAAGTGACAGGATTTTCAATAATATACTGATGAATTTTTAAATTCTGAATATTAAATAAACCTCTAACCTTTAATTTAAATTAAATCCTTAAATCGAATGATTTTTTATATTTTTCATTTAATTTAAAGCCTAAATCGTAAAGCTAAAGCTTAAATCCTTAATCCTTATTGAAAACTTCATATGTGACCTCCCCATTAAGTATGCAACATTTTTTTCTCATCTCAGTTTTCCTGCAATTTTTACAAAAGAAAATAGAATTCTTTAAAATATGGAACATTTATTAAAACTATTACTATTTTTTTGCTATTATTTGAGCTATAATTATTTTTTGTTATTATTATTTCCTGTTTATTAAACTCTAATCGAAAACTTATACTATTCCATGTTTTTATGGGGACCTTTGGAATCTTTGTGCTTTAGGAAATTTAATTAAATATTTCATAATTAAATATTTATAAAATACCCACGGAACAACTATTAGGGGACTTTCCACAAAATCTATACAACGATCGGAACTATTTCCCTTTAAGTATGTGTCATATCCAGGGATTTTCCATGGCCCCTCAGACAGATAGAGAGACGTGCATCTACTTCCATATGAAAACTATATGGTATATATACAGATATGTATAATATATTTGTATGGTTTGTGAAATGATTAAGCGGCAATGTTGCCAATAAGTTGGCGGCGGACATGCGACATGTCACACGCCACGAGACGACAACTGTGACAGCAGCGGCGGGTTTAATTACGCCATGCTGCTGACTGATTGCAGATATTATACTTAAATGGACTGGCCAGGGGGCTGTGAAGGGGCCGAGGGCAGGTCCTGGGTCGCGGCAAGGATGTTGCCCGTCATCAATTGGAGGCAAGCTGGCAATTCAAATGAAGCCCTATTGACGGATGGCCAAATTGACTCCGCGACTGCGTGGGCGACTCGAGGCTAGGGCCAGAACACAGCAAAGCATCCTATATATAGGATATGGTGGGTGTGGGTGGGTGTGTGGTTGGGGTTGGTATCTTTACTGGCTTACTTACGGGTGGCTGGGCTGGGTTTCTGTGGTTCATGGCAATGCAGGCTCAACGGGCGATAGCCACTTTAAATTGGGGAGTGGCATCAACTGTTGCTAGGTGACCGCTTCATCCATGGTGGCAAGGTCCCGCCGACTCCGACTCGTCATAATGAATTTCCCTATAATGGCCATAAAGTTGGCCACATCTGACGACTTTCCCGGTTGTCTGTTGCCCCTGATTGCGTGAGCTTTGCTTCATTTGAATATAACGGTGGCAGGCGGAGGCACGTAGGCCCACACCGAGAAAAATGTTCTTCAAAAAATGTCAAATATATATTTTCTATATTGTTTAAGTAAATGGTTAAAAGAGGTTAAAATCCACAAATATATTTAAAATCTATTATTTCAAATTGTATTTTGACTAATTATATTCTTAAAGTGTAGCTGTATATTTTAAAAATATAACATTATCCTTGTGGGTGGTTAAGAGCCTTGTTAAGAGCCACAACAATCCCAAAATAATGAACTTTTTTTATTGTGGCCTTTTGTTTTGCTTTATTTTATCTAGTTTGTTATATTTTTTGGTAAGGGGGATTATTGACCCGGGAGTTTATAGCATCCTTGGCCAGTTTCGGGTGTATTTTCTTCCTGTGCCGGACTCTTAGACTCCGAAGTGCATTTCAATTGACGCCACACCAAAATCAATTGCAACCAACGTCTGCGGCGGGATCTTTGTGCAATTGGTTCGGCTCTGGAATGCAAATAGTTGGCGGAGAGGCTGGATTCTGGTGTTCCGAGCAATTGATGGAGCCATCCCACTGGAGGCATCAGGTCTGCCATCAGAGTCACCATACATATATGGTCAAGAATGACGTCCGGACAGGCTGTCTGGCCGGAAAGCAGATGGAACTAACTCACGGCCAGTCGCATTAAAGTCTCAACCTGCCCAAATCCGGAATTATCTGAAAATACAATAATGCAATAAAGGTGAGTGTAATGAGCTCTCCACTCCCTCCCATTTGAGTGACATCTATTGATCCTTGCCAGCTCTGCCATATGGTAATGGATCGAGTTGTATCTATGTATATCGATTTATTGCTACTGTATATTCTAAAAAAAAAGGAAACAAAAAAAAGAAACAACCGTACTAAACGAATATGCATTTGGGACACGCATTTCATTTCCAGTCCGATCCGATGCGAGCCGATCCAATCTTCTGCGAATATTAATGAGAAAAATGTGATTTAAAATAATAAATTTGCATGAATTTTCTTTAGCTTTGAATCAATCAATCAAAGGAGAGCAACAAGTAACAGCTCGGCACTTCGACAGTTCGACAGGCATCCCCTTTTAGCCACCCCCTTAACCGAATTCGAGAGCACGAGCAACGCGTTGCAACGCAGCGAACACAGATACAGATACAGATAGAGATACACTTATACAGATACATTTACGCATACTGATACAATGCCGACGCCATAACTGTTATTAAAGCCCCCGTAGCGTCCAATTTGCTGGCTTGTCCGTTTGTCCGCCTGTCTGTCCGTGTGTCCGTTCGTCCATTCGTCCGCTCGTCCGTTCGTCCGACGGAGCAGCAGCTGCCCACTTGTTGATTTCGGGCATGCCCGATATAAAAGCATGGACGCTCAACCTTCCGCCACACAGTACATCACTCGCCACATCTCGAGCAGAACGGAGACAGAGCCGGAGAACTGGGAGCCGAGACCGGAGAAAAGAGCATCCAAAGAGGCCGAATATAACAGTATCTGCAGCCGAAGGTGGTGTGCTTCTAAACGTATTCAAAAAAAAAAATCACCGGAAATTGCCGTAAGAGTTCTAGAACTCTAGTGAAAGTGACAAGTGAAAGTCAAAGTTACGAAACCCAAAACCAAAGATATGCAGGTAGGAATGCTAAACCTTTAATCCTTAATACTAAGATAGTTCTTGGATAAAGATATAATCCTTTTTTATGGTATTAAATTTTTGAAAATATTAAGAACCACTTTAATGTGGTCTGAACCGCTTCAATCTTAACAACTTAATGGAACTCTTAATGCTAGACAGAACCCATATAATAACCCGTACAGCAGCTTCCTCCGTATGATTCATGGCCCGGCACTCGAAAGGTCTCTCACAGACTTTGAGCTTTGGGCCATTTAAATGTTAAATTGTACAACTTGTGATCTCGTGCCAGTTGGAAACATTTTCTGGATGAAATCCATAAATTTCAACTGTATGACAGGGCTTGTGAGTCAAACAGATTTAATTAAAACATTTCATGATCGTGTTTAGCAAACCTCGTGATTCTGCAATTTATTATCAATCTATTGGCAGTGAATTATTATCGCCCCGGGCAACAGGGTCTTTCGTAATACACTTCGTAATATTCTACAAAATCAAGTATTTGGCTGGGGGACAGGTTCGCGAGAAAAGTCGTCAGTGGGTCTGTGGGGTCCCTGATATCAGATCTGTTTTTGTTATTTATCTTCGGGGAAGTGCGGCACAGCGGAACAATAATGATAAGTGCAGAAATATGCTTTTATCTGCCGAAAATCCGAGAACCGGAATCTCAGAGTAAACAAAATCATCGTGAGAATAACTCTCAGATTTGCCAAACAAATCTTTATTATGAAGAATTCTTTGGACAGTTTTTTTTTCATATTTTTCAGAATTGATAAATGGAAGAGAACCGTGCGAATTTATTCTGTTTATCCTTAGGATTCTCTTTTTAGCAGAGTAGCTTTTTTTGTTTTCTAAGCTTTATTGGAAAAGATATAAGGATGTGTAGAAAAGTTTCAAAGTTTTAAAAAGAGACTTTTCTAAAAATTAAAACCAAAAGGATGTAAGATAAAAATGTCTTATCCTTTTTTAAATATTCCTCTTTTTTTTGTCAAAGTTTTCAAGACTTTTTCCAACTTCCAACCAACTCTTATTTAAAAAAATAAATTTAAAAAGGATATATGTACGTATTTTACTCCCAAATTCAATACAAGGTTATTGATCTTCATATTGTAATTTTTCCAAAATGGCATATATTCAAAGTGAGTTTATTAAGACTTAATCGGACTTTACAACAGACCCGTTGCTGAGTCAGTTTCTTGGGTTAGGCAATTGGACTTTGCATTTAATGTCGCGTCAGCTTGAGTTTCGACTTGGCTTCGAGTCTGACTTGCCAAGTGGAGCGTGGCTACGTGAGCCGGTGAACATCTCCATCTACTATACAATATCTCCACCGGCACTGGAACAACCACTGCCACCTTCAATCCACCTCCCGGTTCTGAAACGGTTACATGTTTTAAGCCTGACGTTGCGCTGGTCACGCAGCCACCCAATCCCCTGCCTCAATCTCCGGCTGCTTTTCCACCTAAAACACACACAGAAAATTATTATATTAAATATAGATTTTAAATAAATTTATGAAAATTACATTTTAAAATTAAGACTCTATAGTCTTATAGTCCTTTTAATGGTCTCTTAATATATAGCCTACTTATAGAGCCTCTCTTAATATCATAAAAACATATACTAAAAGGTCCAAAAATTCGCTTGTAATACCAATACCAGACCCAATTCTTAACCTAAGCGTAGTGTTAACTACTTTTTCTCTCGGTGCCACTATCATTCGATTCTGAATCGAAATCAATTCAAAAGCAATTAATAATCAGATCGTTTTTGTAATAAATTGCAATTTAATAAATGAACAAAAAAAAAGACCTAAGCAGAAAGGCGAGCAGCAAAAAGTCGAAGGCAACTTTTCGCAATGAAATTAACTGGTGTGGCAGGGGGAGTGGTGGAGCGATGTGGCGCGGGGAGGGTCAGGGCGGGGGCTCGAGTTCAAATGCGTCACAGTTATCGCTGAGAGGAATTGCAATTTTATTTGCAATTTCATTTTGCAGGCATATTTGCATATTGCCGATCATTGATAGCGGGAGAGTGGAAGCGGGCAAAGGAGCGGATCGAATAATTCAAGAGAACGCGATCGAAGAAAAAAGAGCAAGAGCTCCCCATTTTGGCTCTCTTGCGCTGCCCAACATGTTATGCGACTGTATATGTGTGTGTGAGTGGGGCGTCGCTGCGAGAGACGAGCCCCCAACGCCTGATGCTGTGTTTATCCACTCATATAGACTCACTCCCCGCAGAAAAAAAAAGAAATAAAAAAACAATATTTACTTACACACCAGCAGCTCAATTATGCTGAATACTAGTACTCTAATACTAATGAACGCTCGCCGGGAATATGAATTGCGTATTTCCAAAGCCAATTAGGAGGATTCCTAAATTGGCCTCGCTGACGCTGCCCAGCCCCCCAACTCCCTGGTAGTGTGTGTGTTTGTGTGAGAAACGAGCCCCTCTTTTTATTCATGTTTTTTTGCCTTCATAATTGTTTTTCAAGCTCTATTGAACTTGGGGCGTTGATGATGACGATGATACTACGATAACGCCCCAAGTTGAAAACATCCCATCTCATCCGACGTCATCTCGATGCCCTATCATAAAAAAACAATTGGGAAATAGTAGTTGTTTATAAAGGAGGAGTATTTTGGGGTTAAAGCTTATCTATCAAACCCACTTGCTAAATTCCTTTACTTACTACGAATTTCCATAAAACTTTGTTCAAAACATTATGACGAGATATTTCAGTGAAATCCAATGAAGTAAGAATTATGAGTGGAAGGTGTCTATGGTATCAGACAGTTTTCTGCGAAAAATCTACGGCGCAAAAACCAAAACACATTCCATAGATATTTTTTCAATGAAAGCTCTTAAAAAAAATCAGGTCTGCATTTTATACTACAGTTTTCGTAGAATACAAGCTTTTGTTTATTTATCTTTATAGAATGTTTTACATTATAATAAAGATTTTACAGAGTATTATCAGCTTCGTGTTTGTGAAAATTCCTGTTATTGTTTTTCTTTCGGCAATTCATTAAAATGGAATGATTTCAATTAGAATGGAATCTAATAGAGATAACAACCAGGCCATAAGGGGCCTGCTTAACCTTATTCATAAAGAGCACGTTCCTATAATTCCAGTATCGGAAGTGAAATCATTGAACTTTATTTGAACTGACTACCTAGAAAGGGTAAACTTATCGAACCGACTTTCTGTCTTATCTTTACGTGCTTTGGCTCATATAGATACTTTTTGTGAATCATGGTATAGATTGAAATTCCTTAATTAGATAATATTCGATGAGTGATCGTTTCGGAAATACTTCTTTATGAATGATTACCTCCTGAATATTTATATATTTTACCTAATTTTATAGATATTTTTATAGATACTATAAATTAGTATTTCTTTTGGCCTCATTCATTCCCAAAACTCATTTGGTTTTTTGAATATTTAAATATATCGACTTCGAATGACTCAACACTTGTGGCTCTCTTACGCACTCACACACAGACACCATCTCACACGTGACCATGTTCGGGTCTCAGGGTTATATGCTATAGCATATTTACTCACAGACCCGGGTCGGGTTTACTTTACCTTTTCGCTGCAGCGAAGAGCGACTGCACAGCGATGGCAGCGCCGCTGCTGATCGGCTTAGGCTTAAATGGCTGATGCAATCGCAACGCAAATTGGGCGAGAGCCGAAGTCAAATATTCCCTCGTTCTCTTGAGTTTTGGGTGCTTGGGTGCCCCCACCCCCAGCCCTACCACGACTCCCCGACCAGCCTGTTGCACAACAAACAGAAGGTACTAAAAGATACAGTAACCGGAGAGCCAAAAACAATCGCCACACACATTCGAATAATTTCCAAGAATGCCATGGATAAATTTGAATTACGGAATGCACATGTGATACGAGTGGCGAATTTACATTGTTTTTATAGATACTTGGGCTAACTATAGGCTTAAGATATTATAGCTTTAAGGGGTTATATACAGTTGTGATATATGAAAAAATCGATTTTTTTTTTATTGTATATTCTTTAAGTATATTCTATTGGGAATACTCTCACAAAAATTCATAACGATCGGAGCATTAGAACCGAAGCTGTAGCTATTTATAGCGCACTATCTGCATATAAAACTTGAACAAACTTGAAACTTTAAACGCGATTATCTCAGAATCTTTTTTTTGGGAAATTACCTTTGCGGTGGACACGATTACTAAAAAACTACTTACCCGATCAACACCAAATTTTGATCACTTATTTATTATGATATTAGCTAGTCCGTGAACGAGGGATTTTCAATTTTTTTGAAAACTCCTTTTTTAAAGCACAAAAAACGAAAATCTTATAACTTGAAAAATTACATTTTTTGTTAAAAACGTCGCCATTTTTTTTTTTAAGTCAACATTTTTAAAAATCCCTCGTTCACGGACTAGACAATACAATATACTAACTAAACTTTTTTGAATTTTGGATTTCGGATGAACCGTTTTCGAGAAATCATGTCCACCGCAAGACACCATCGAAAAAAGACGATTCGGGAATTCGGCTATAACATTTTTGTTATGTAATATTTTTTTATGAAAAAATGTAATTAAGTACCCAGAAACATGTACTAAACAACGTCATTAAAACATTTTTCACAAATATTTTCTATGCTGTCAAAAAAAAAATCGATAAAAATCTATATTTTTGCGCGGTACAACTGTATATAACCCCTTAAAAGGTACAGTTCTCCTCCAAAAATAGAATCCCTTAGGCTTGGAACCCAAAAACCTTTAACTTTGCCTTGACTTTTAGACTCTTCTGTGTATATAATTCATTATAATACCATTATAATGATATATTTTATCTTTTAGTTGAATATAGATTCTAAGGTAAAATAACTATAATATAATATAATATTTTCTTCAGTGTAAGAGCCATGAAACTTTAACTAGGAAGTCTCACTTCCCATGATGTTTCCACTTCCAATTCCGATTCCGTCACCTTCGTTGA